CCTCCCTCCCCTCTACCTTCTTCCATCCGTCACCCTCTCTCCTTCCCTCCCTCCCCTCTCTACCTTCTTCCCTCCCTCCCCTCTCTCTCCTTCCCTCCCTCTATGAACACTAAGTACAATACTTCGAGAATGTACACTTGAAGCCCTGTACAATTGTTCATGGACTGTTTAATGGTACAAACATATATATTAAAGTGAAACAAATATAAATATATATAGTTATGTACAGTACATTTATAGAGGAAGACAACAGTGTTCCCATTAGTATTAAGTTTGTTCCACGTTGTTCCATGGTTCATCCCTGTTTGTTCCATAGTGGTCCTCGAATCCCTGTTCCATGAATCCATAATTGTTCCAGGTGTTTCATGGATTATAGATTGTTCCATTTTGTTCCATGGACCTCTGATTGTTCCATTTTGTTCCATGGACCTCTGATTGTTCCATTTTGTTCCATGGACCTCTGATTGTTCCATGGATTTCACTGAGTTATCTAGATATGATTTTGTTCCACTCTGTTCATGATTTTCTGTTCATGTTCCATTGTTTTCATAATCACATTTCCCACAACACAGAACACATTTGTTCATTAAAGTGTTCAGCTGTCGGTACTACCTGAACAAGGAGTACAATGAACACTTCACTCTGTTCAACCAGGTTTGTTCATTCTGGTGGAATTAATTAGATTTGTTTGTGAACATTTTCGTCTGTTCACTTGCAGAACATTGAACACGTACAACGAACTAATGAACACAGTATTAGTTCATTCTGGTGCAATTATGAACATTTGAGTTTGTTCATCACCAATAGAGACGTGTATCATAACCATCGTTTCTGTTCATATCAGTACAATGAACAAATATTGAGTAGTGAACATTACATTTTGTTCATCAAGGTACACTTATAATTATACAAACTGTTATTGAACACATGAATATTTGTTCAACTCCAGTTGTGATTCTTGATATACAAATGGAGGAAAAATTCACTCCTGTTCATCTGTAGAACATTGAACACATATAGTGAATAATGAACATGGCACTTTGTTCATTCTGGTACAGTTATAATGAGTATTTATGAACATTTTGTGTTTGTTCACCATTGTTTTAGTTACAATGTAAGTTACTGTGTCTTGTGACCTTCTTTGAACACTGAACATATAGTCTGGTTGATGAACAATGTTATTTGTTCATCCTGGTACAAGTAGAACATGGTGAACAAGTGACTTTGTTCAAGATAATAAGAACAGTTCATCTCATACAAGAAAAAGGAGTCAACAAACATTCCATAGTGAACAAAACTGAACACACACACACAATACTATCCCATAATTGAATTTTCAAGACTAATATCAAATGGAACAAAATTATTACAAATTGTTCATTTTTTTAACTCACTGGAACAAAATAGTGCCACGAGTGTTCAAAAAGTTTTATAATCATGAACAAAATATAGAAATATATTAAAGAAGAGCTATTTAGTTATGTTTTCTTTTTGAACACAGTTTTTGTTCATTTGTTCACATCACACAAACAATTGACTTTGTTCACATTACACAAACACGTTTTTTTGTTCACATCACACAAACAATTGACTTTCACATTACACAAACACTTGACTTTTCTTCCTGACCAAGCCACTGGTCGTAAAACTAACCGATTTCTTTGAGAATGAAGCCGCTACTTTCCCTTCAACATTTGGTACTACTACTTTCCCTTCATCACACGTAGCTGGTACTTTCTCTGAACACCCTGAGGTAGATGGAGTACTTTCCTTCTCGTTGACGTAGTTAACCATTGATACTCTTCTCCCTGCATCAATTGTGTTTATTTTACCTGAAGGAGTTGTTACGTCAATTGATTTACCTCTTCGGATTTTTGGCAAGAAGGAAGAGTTCTTTTCACGAAGGGAGGATTTATTATTACGAGAGACATAATGACCAATATCCTCAAAATTCTCCCGTCTTTTTTGCTCATAGTGGCCATTTTGGGAGGCTAAAATATCCCCCTTTGATACCATATTAGGTATTTTACGTTTCTGAAGACTATCTACCGGATTCTCATACTCATTACATTTCTCTAATAGTTTCTCCTCCAATTCTTTATCAAGTCTATTTACGCTGTCTCTAATCGCATCGTTTTCTATGGTGGCTAAACTGTTTGGTTCTTTTGTGGTGTTGTCTAGTGGTTCATCTTGGTTCGTGTCAGGTTTGGGAGGATTTGGGTGGTCATCTTTTAGCTTGGTTTTGTCCTCAGGTTCTTGCTGGTGTTCTGTTAGCTGCTGTCTCGTGTGTTTTGTTGTGTTGTGATTTTCCGTGTGATCGTTTCCTCCTGTTCTTGAATTTATCGCCTTTCCTTCTTCTAAACAAACATCTCCTCCTCTTCCTGTTTCTCCTCCTCCTCCTCCTCTCGTGACGTAGGAGGTAGAAGGAAGATGTGTACTATCAAAACTCATAGCCTGATTTGATAGCCTTTCCATACGACGGGTGTCTCTGGGTACGCTATAGTCCAGGGTCATCTGTTTGCTCACCTTAGCTTTCGTCTTCACTGGCGTTGCTAGCTTCTCACTGGAGGACGATAGTGTTTCATTATCGTTGCCACCAGCTGTTGTGTTGGTAGTGAGTTGTGAGTGAGGTGGTTGTTGTGTGGGTGTAGAGGGGCCCCCGTTGTGTGTGGCGCTGAGTATATCTTCTACGCCTTCACCTTCACAGCCTCCTTCAGTAGCACATGGGTTTGATTTCACGACTGGAGATTTTTTATCGTCCGGAGACACTCGTTGGATTCTTTGTTGACTTCTGAAGGATAATTTCTTTTGTGTTATGACCTGATCACCACCAACACCACCACCACCAGGATTCGTGACAGACATACTGAAGGGAAGGTCACCATCATTATACCCGTGGATCACCCTGCTGGAGGTCACGCCATCTTTAACACACACTACCACCTTCTTCAGGATCGTGGCATCGTCAGGAACAACAGGATCACCCTTCAGTGTTGTGTCTGTTAAATCCTGTGAGTTCCTGGTGCCTGTAGGAACCCTGATGGTGGTGAGGGAACTACAGGAGCTATCACCATGGGCGTCGTCACTAGAGGAGGGCAAACCGCAGGTGAATTCTGGTTCTGAGGGGGACTGTGAACACCTCCTTACCAGTAGAGAATTCCCGGAGGATATAGGAGCTGCATGACGAAGTAACGCCCCTTCGTCAGGTCTGAGGGCGTAGGAGGAGAGAGTACTGCGGAGCTCAGAGACAGGAGGATCGTAGGGCGTCGACACAAAGTAGGTGATAAGTGTTCCTTTACCTTTGATTGGAGTAGGACCTCGACATTCACACTCCCACCCGGCCCCCTGGAGGATGGCTGCAGTCTCCTCCGTCACCTGAAACACAACCAGGATATATAGCACAACCAGGATATATAGCACAACCAGGATATATAACCCAACCAGGATATAACATAACATACCTGTATCCTGCCACCTATATTACCGGGACATACCTGTATCCTGCCCATCAACCCGGTAGAATCCATCCTAGAGGCGACATTGACGGTGTTGCCCCAGATGTCATACTGGGGTTTCTGAGCGCCCACAACCCCCGCTATTACTGGGCCGTGGGCGAGACCTGAGGAGAGTAGTGAAGATAAGAACCACAGTAGAGTTGATTTTTCCTGTAGTGGGAGGAGGAGGAGGAGGAGGGGGGTAGGAGGAGTAAGAAGGAGGAGCAGGGGAGATGAAGGAAGAAGGGAGGAGGATTGTAGTAGCAGGCCAACAACATCATCACTACCCCCACACCACACACACTACTCCCCACACCACACACACTACCCCACACCACACACACTACCCACTACCCACACACACCCTACCCACTACCCACACACCCTCACCCACCACCACACACCTGTAAATTCACCCACACACACACCCCACCACCACCCACCCCACCCACTCACCCACACAACCCACCACTACCCACACACCACAGTACCACACACACCCTACCCACTACCCACACACACCCTACCCACTACCCACACACACCCTACCCACACTCACCTACTCTCAGTTTAAAGCTCTGAAAACTTTCTTTGTTGATAGCATCCAGCACAGCAGCTAGAGCCAGGGCGAACTCCACCAAGAGCACAAGACAGTGTTCCGTTCTGTCCCTGGCCTGTGGGGGAGATGGTAGGGTTAGTTGTGTGTCTGTGAGTGTCTGTATGTCTGTCTATGGCTGTCTGTGTGTCTGTATCCGTTTGTCTATAGTACTATCTATCTATCTATCTATCACCATTATAAACACATAAAAATACTTACATTCTCAAAATCCTGTAGCCATGTAAACAACGTATATATATATATATAAATTAACATACATACAAGATGCTGATATATAAATTGCTATATAAATCACTATATAAATCACTATATAAATTACTATAGCATTTTGTGGTGATATGAGATTTGTATTAGTTTGTTAAATGTGGAATTATTTACGTATTGGACAGGTATAAGAGACAGGTGTAGATGTTCAAGTAGAATCAGAGGTAGATGAAGAGAGGTAGAGAAGTGGATTATGTCGAAGTAGAAGAAGAATCAGAGGTAGAAAGTAGATGTAGAAAGTAGATGTAGTTCGTAGACGTACCTCCTCCTTGCCGGGGTGTAGACCAGACGCCACCATGTAAGTGCTGCCGATGGTCTTGATCTTCTCCACCAAACTGTACTTGGGTTTTAACAACAGCTGTGAAGAAAAGTGCCTTGAGATGGTTTTAAAGTGCCTTGAGTGTGTTAGAGTGTCTTAAAGTGCTTTGAATGTCTTGATACTATCTGTAAGTGCTGCCGATGGTCTTGATCTTCTCCACCAAACTGTACTTGGGTTTTAACAACAGCTGTGAAGAAAAGTGCCTTGAGATGGTTTTAAAGTGCCTTGAGTGTGTTAGAGTGTCTTAAAGTGCTTTGAATGTCTTGATACTATCTTAAAGTGCCTTGAATGTGTCTTGCGTGTCTTAGACTGTCTTAAAGTGCCTTGAGTGTGTACTGAGTGTGTTAGAAGTGTCTTAAAGTGCTTTGAGTGTCTTTATAGTATCTTAAAGTGCCTTGAGTGTGTCTTGCGTGTCTTAGACTGTCTTAAAGTGCCTTGAGTGTGTACTGAGTGTGTTAGAAGTGCCTTAGAAAGTCTTAAAATATCTCATATCAAGAATATTAGTTGACCTTTAAATTACCCACAATTCCCCCTAAAATAACCTGTAATTGACCCTTACCTTATCGTAGTCACAGATGATCTCGTTCAGTAGCCTCAGGCATTCTAATCCTTGTTTGTTGACATCTGTTTCGTCATAGAACTCCTTGTAGTTGGGTATAGACGCAAACATGACCCCCACACTGCTGTACCTCTCGTGGTAAAGCTCTTGTTGCTGTGGGGAGAGTGTGGGAGTGTGTTAGAGGGTGTGGGGGAGGTTTAGCGGGTGTGGAAGGGTTTAATAACTCACAACTCACCCATAACTCATCATTAACTCATAACTCACCTGCGGTACATTGGACGACACTAGGTACCTATGAGCGAGATAGGCAGGTAAAATATTTTCCAGTAATATTTTGTTAATTCCTCGCGTAGTCTCGACCTCTTCCTGTTCCACGGCTACCCTCGAGGCCCAAGTGTAGTGTGTCCTCGCCCTGGCCTCGCTCTGACCTCCCAGCACGCCCAATACGCCCACCAGAGCCAAGACCTGCACGCCTACTACCACCCACCACGCCACACCCGGTAACCTAAAGTAAAAAAATGGTGTAAATTGGGTTAGTTTCCACGCGTTTAGGGGTATGGTATTGTGTGATTGGTTAATAATGATGTGATAACGATAATACAACAACACCTGAACTACCTTACCTGTGATAATAACGACTGAAGTACACAAGAAGAAAATTATCATCCCAATCGTAAATACTAAGCTCGTGGTCCTTGTAGAACATGAGGGCGTTGATGTGGGCGGTTGTAATGAGAGTCATAACGAATATTTTGGTACAAGCGCCCACTCTAGGGAACACAGCCACCACTCCTATTGATAAGAGACACGCCCATACCCACAGCTGTTGAAGATAAGGTTAGGGTATGGTGTTAGATGGGTGACGGAGAAAGATATAGACAGGCGGACAGAGATGAACAGGGCGACAGAAAAATGAGATAGAGGTACATACATACATACATACATATACAGTATACATACATGTAGTTTATTTCCACTACACCATTGCACCACTATACCGTTGCACCATTGTCACATTGCACCACTTACTTACCTCAGCATCTCGCTGTTGTGGCCGCAGAGGCAGTGTGAGAACAGGCAAGGTCATGTTTACATCGTCATCAATTGTGGTAGGCTGTGACGTCACCGGGCGAGGCAATTCTTCAGGCACGACCTACGGATGGGGGAGTTCCTTTACCTTCTGTTATAAATGTTTCTGTTTATTAAAAAATATATATATGTTTAAGAATAATTTCATATAGTTCAGATATATATTAATTTTGTCTATATAATGTCTGAGATAATGTTTAGATTAGGTTAAGTCAGGTCAGGTGAGGTCGTACCAGCCAGGTCATCGCCAGCAGTACGCAGACGACCACGACGACCCAACAGGTGATAATCCGGGCGGTCCAGCGATTAGTCACCACCCCACGTCCACAGGACCACGCCCACTGCGTCAACACCACCACCCCACACGACCACCCGCCCACACACGCCCACAGCCACCACGACCTGCGGGAGATAGACCATAACCCAGGTATGTATGTATTAGCCCTTGTCTAACAGATCCTAATACTTATATAAATGTAGGTTACATACAATAGGTTTATATCACCCACAGTAACTCTCCTATGAGCCGTGAGTTAGTTATCCATTAGTCATAAAGAAAGTAATCGGTTCTCGGCCAGTCTGCTCCTGCCTCTCACGCTTCCCTTGACGTGTGACCACAGGAAAAAAGGTCACGTGACTTGTACAAATTGTCAACACAATATATACAGGTATATGATAACATTGCACGTAGGTTAGGTTAGGTTAAGTTAGATGGATCACCTGAAGAATTGTCACCTCAGCCTGCTCCACCTGAAGAATTGTCACCCTGCCAAACTCAGGGGTGACAATTCTTCAGGTGATCCAGTTAGATTAGGTTAGGGTTTTCCCTGCATATTATTAACGCTCACAGCTTATATCGTTAATTACGGTGATATCCCAATAATTATGCAATAGTTTAGTTTCTTAATAAATGGTGAAAAGACCATTTGGGTTTGAGAATTTAACCCATAAACAGTTATAAATGTTGCTTCCAGTTCACCTCTAATTAGTGATTCCATAGGTAACCGGGAACTGTAACACATACTCACCCGGGCGGCAGGGAGGCAGCGACAAGGGTGGCCACAAGCAGCGTGAGGGCGGTGGAAGCAGCAAGAGCCTGATGATGGGCGGCGTGTGGGCGTATCCTGTACTCCACCTCTTGCCTCCACCCCCACCACCCACTCTGCCACCACCTGCGGGCGGATTTTAGGAATATTTTTGGTCTTTTATGGATTTGGGGATAATTTTAGGGAAAATTGGGACATTTTAGGGATATTTTAAGTAATTTTAGTACTTAGGAGAAATCTTTAGGGAATATTAAGTTATTTTAGGGATTTAGGGGTAATTTGGTAACTTTGGGGAATATTATAACATTTTAAGGATTTGTTTTATATATTTTAGGGATTTTATGGTCATTTTAGGGATGAGGTGTGAGGTATGGGGGTATTTTTTAAGATATTTGAGTGAATTTTACGATTTCTAGGACATTTTATGACGCGAGCACACACACAACATCCTTGCCACAAATTAGCGAGAAGTGACAACAAATTATTTCGGAAAATTGTGTCTAACATGTTAAGATAATGAAGTGAACTCGGTCATTAGTGATAGATAGATAAGATTAACGCACTTACACCACTATTAGACACACACACACCTGGAAATACTGAATCTCGAACTTGTTACATCAAGGTTCTCTGAATGAAGACGGAATGAACTTGGTGCATTTCCTCAAGCAATACTTGGAATTTTTTAAGACCAGATACAGTATTACACATATAAACGAAGATAATATTCTTAATATTCTCTTATAACGAACTATTATATAACCCTACCAGTATATATCTAGTTGTTAATGGCAGTAATACGTTATATATACAGCGAAATTGTCAAATATAGTGAGTCAATAGTCTTAATGGAAGCAATATCTGGCAGACAGTGTTTCCCTGAGTTGCCAATTGGTGAGAGTAGATGAGTTGTAACGTTAATTAGATCATATATTTAAATATTAGTATAATTAGGAACCTCACAATACCATAAATGCGTATATAATAAACTGGATTATATTTAGAGTGAATATAATCGTGGTTCAGAATAAAGTGGTGAAATAAAGTAAAAAAAAAAAATAATTCTTGTAACGCATGATGTCATAATGAAGGCATAAAGCCGAACTATATTAATAACTGTATACTTCTTGTAAAATAAACATTAAATTTATATATATATACCGTATATCCAAAACCGTAATAAGTACAGAAATATAAAGTTAAACCAACACAATATTTTTTAATTATCAAAATCAAGCATAGAAAACGTGTTGAACTGTGACGTCATATACACTCTTCAACACTGCTTGCTGACCCCGTCGTCTGTGGTGGCATATAGTCTAGGGCGCGACGAGATGTTGAACAGAAGCGTACAGCAGAGCCAAGAGGTTAGTACTCTGGTCTTTGATAATATAAGGGGTGTGGAAAGGGGGGTTTTCTTTCCAATTTTTCAGGGGGACGTTTCAATCATTCAGGGGGACGTTTCAATCATTCAGGGGGACGTTTCAATCATTCAGGGGGACGTTTCAATCATTCAGGGGGACGTTTCAATCATTCAGGGGGACGTTTCAATCATTCAGGGGGACGTTTCACTCACTCAGGGGGACGAGTCAGAAGAGGAAACATTAATAAATTCTTCCTTCCTGTTATTTTCACGTCGTAACAATGAGAGAAAGATATGTTAATCAGTGTTATTGTCAAGAACGACGTATTGACAGAGGCTGGATACCGGTATTATAAGATATTCATATACATGTACTGAAAAAACAACGCCACTCCTCTGAAACTCTTGGAATTTTTGGCGTAGCTTGTGTCGAAGTGTCTAATTAAAAGTGTCTTGTGTCTAAAACTGTGTCGTAAGTGTAACAGTTTGTCAAAAAGTGTCTAAAATATTTGTCTTGTGTCTAATAGTCGGTGGAAAGGGGAATAACTATCTTTGCCTGTCCCCCCCATCTGTCCCCTCACCCTACACTACCTACCCCTCACCACCCCACATAAATACTCATAATTCCTCTACATTATATAATTTAAATAGCTTCATCTACTCCCTAACCTAACGTCACAACATACATACAAACCCAGGAAGCAAAAGATAAATTATTTTATGTCAGGAGGAAAATGAACTCAGATCGTTCACAAGACTTTGGAGTTGTGAAATATTCAGCCAGTGAAGAAGAGTCTGATAAAGCAAATATTTAACCTTGAACTGAAGGAAGATCTTGTGTAGCAACCACTTAGAAGGTTAGGGACTGAGTGTAGACCCGTTCAGTACGCGTCTACACAGAGTTAGATAAAAATAGCGAGAGACAGACACACACAGGGCCAGGTGTCAGGTGTCGACTATAGAGCTCTTGTATTACCATATGTATGCTAGGAAGAATGTATTTTGTATTTTTTTAGGTAGATGAATTAGAGTGACTGAGTGTATGTAACCTATAGCATTTATGAGACCTTCACACCCTGGTTAGGTTAATGTAGGAGAGGCATCTTGGGAGCTGGCTAGATCACACACACACACACACATCCTGTACCACTCTCCGTGACCTTTATCTCACACTACTGATTTGACGACTGTGCCCCCTCCCCCCTTATCTCACCCCTCCCCCCTTTATCCTACCCCTCCCCCCTTTTTCCTACCTCTCCCCCCTTATCCTACCTCTCCCCCTCCCAACACACCATACGCCATTTTATATACGTAATACAACCAGGCTCTATATTTCAGTGTATTCACGGCTGGTGTAAGAGTAACACCTAACCTAGTGCCCCTAGAAAGAATTCAGAGGAGAATGACAAGACTAATCCCAGGCATTAGGAACCTTGAGTACAGAGACATGGAAGTCAGGGTTAAACAAAGGGGACATTACAAAGGTACTCAAACTATCCAACCAGGAGCGAACTCGTAACAATGTTTTAAATGAGACAAATTTAGATTTAGGCGCGAGAGAAGTAAACATTGGTTTGGAAATAGAGTAGTGGATGAATGGAACAAGTTACCAAACACCATCAATACGCTGGATAGCTTCAAACACAGGCTGGATGGATATATGAGTGATAGGGGTCGGGTGTTACGGGACTGTCCAGTATAGGCCCGCTGCAGTTTCCTCCATTCTTATGTTGTTATAATACCTAGGGCCCCTTATTGAGCATAATGCCTACGGCCCCTCATTGAGCATAATACCTATGGCCCCTCATTGAGCATAACTCCTAGGGCCTCTCCAAGGGCATAATGCTTGCGGCCCCTCCAGGAGCATAGTACCTAGGACCCCTCCAAGAGCACAATAAAAAAAATATTTGTTTTCAGATGGAAGATCCACTTCTCACAAACAACCATGCTGACCTTGACCTCTCTAACCCGTGTTTCATCATGACCTTGGATAAACTGAAGCCACCTGACCTCACCCCACCCAAGGTCACAAAGAATGACTCAATGACCTTCGCTTTCCCTAATAACGTAGTTACTGCTGACTCATCCCTTGATACGGTAAGGTCCTTGGTTTGATGATATTGTATTAGTTATAAAAGATGGTATTAATAGTAGAATTAATAACAATACAGTAATAATAACAATAAACTGCTGGAACGAACATACATACATCCGGTCTAATATACACATATCCCCTTCAGAACTCGCTGGATATCCCGGAGGTGACAACAGCGCCAATAGAGGTGAGTTTTTACCACCGAAAATTTTAACATGATACCCAAGGCACCGACTATATACAGAGATAGTGAAGAAAATAGATTAAAAAGCGAGATAGTGGTGACTAGTAACGATGTTAGTGAGCAAATAGACAAACTAAAGCCTAGTAAGTCAATAAGTCCCGATGAGATATTTGCCAGAGTATTAAAGGAATGTAAGGAAGAGCTTAGTATGCCCTTAGCAAAGTTGTTTAACAAGTCCTTAAAACGGGTGTAGTGCCAGAATCCTGGAGATTAGCGAATGTAATACCGATTTTCAAGAAGGGAGATAGATCACTATTCTCTAACTACCGTCCAATCAGTTTAACATCAATGGTAGGCAAATTACTGGAAGCAATAATTTCAAACTCTATTCGAAATCACCTGGAGAAGCACAAGTTGATCAATGATTCCCAACATGGCTTCACAAGCAGGCGTTCATGTCTAACTAATCTATTAAAATTTGTTCAGCTGTTTTCGAATCAGTGGACGAGGGGCACGACTATGATGTGGTATATCTTGACTCTAGTAAAGCCTTTGACAGAGTCCCTCACGAAAGACTAATAAGAAAAGTGGAGGCTCATGGCATTGGAGGAGATAATCTAAAATGGATTAGAGCGTGGTTACAGGACAGGAAACAGCGAGTGAGCATTAACGGCACTAAATCCGAATGGAGTAACGTCACTAGTGGAGTACCCCAAGGCTCAGTACTTGGACCATTATTATTTATTATATACATAAATGACATAGATATCGGCGTAGACAGCGACTTAAGTAAATTTGCTGATGACACTAAAATAGGACGTGTAATTAAATCTGACGAGGACTCCGCAAAACTACAGGAAGATCTAAACAAATTTTTCGAATGGTCTGAAAAATGGCAGATAAGATTCAATGTAAAGTACTCAGTGTAGGAGATGTAAACAGGGAAACCAGATACCAGATGAACAACGATGTTATTGAGAAATCCGACTGCGAGAAAGATTTAGGAGTAATGATAAGTAGGAATCTTAAGCCAAGTAAACAATGTGTATTTGCTCGAAACAAGGCTAGCAAAGTACTTGGGTTCATACAAAGGAGTGTTAGTTACAAGACTAGCGAAGTCATCTTAAAATGACAAGACTAATCCCGGGCATTAGGAACCTTGAGTACAGAGACAGGTTAAAGCATCTTAATTTGCACTCCCTCGAGAGACGTAGAGTGAGGGGCGATATGATAGAGGTGTATAAATGGAAGTCAGGGCTAAACAAAGGGGACATTACAAAGGTACTCAAACTATCCAACCAGGAGCGAACTCGTAACAATGTTTTAAATGAGACAAATTTAGATTTAGGCGCGAGAGAAGTAAACATTGGTTTGTAAATAGAGTAGTGGACGAGTGGAACAAGTTACCAAACACCATCAATACGCTGGATAGCTTCAAACACAGGCTGGATGGATATATGAGTGATAGGGGTCGGGTGTTACGGGACTGCTCAGTATAGGCCCGCTGCAGTTTCCTCCATTCTTATGTTCTTAAATCTACCTTGTGCTAATTAGTTATTGTAAACGTGAGTCAGACAGATAAATATCTCACCTTGCTTAATAAACACAGATATAGACTGGTAACTAGTTGTGTTTATCGTTCTCTCTCTGTAACACACACACATTGTAATACACAATCTCCTCCCTTCCTTCCCCCCTCTCTCGGTCATTTCACGCCCTCTCTATCCCTTCCTCACCCTCACTCTCCCTCTCTCCCCACACCTCGTATCAAGGTCCTCTCTCTCTCTCTCCCTCACTCCCCACCTCCCTCACTTTCCCCCCTCCCTCCCCCTCCCTCACTCACTCTCTCTCTCCCCACAGGTCGTCCCAAGGTCACCACCACCACCAAGCACACATCCATGGCTCAAGAAACTAATATATATGTGTGAGGATTCCACCTATATTGTGGCGTTTGTGGCTCTCATGTTCATAGCTATACCATTCATATTTCTTATACGGTTTCTACTTGATCCTTAGTCAGTCTCTGTCTCTCTATGACAGACTTAAGGAGCAAGATATATTTGTCTTGGTTGTCAGTGAGCATATTTACGCCACTGGCCACTCATTGAGCATTTTTACCATATGTTTTGGCCAGTCAGTGAGCATTTTTCCTGTGTTTTTGTCCAGTCAGTGAGCATTTTACTGTGTTTTTGTCCAGTCAGTGAGCATTTTACTGTGTTCTTGTCCAGTCAGTGAGCATTTTCACCCTACTGTATGTTTTGACCAGTCAGTGAGCATTTTTCCTGTGTTTTTGTCCAGTCAGTGAGCATTTTACTGTGTTTTTGGCCAGTCAGTGAGCATTTTACTGTGTTTTTGTCCAGTCAGTGAGCATTTTACTGTGTTTTATGGCCAGTCAGTGAGCATTTTACTGTGTTTTGGCCAGTCAGTGAGCATTTTACTGTGTTTTGGCCAGTCAGTGAGCATTTTACTGTGTTTTGGCCAGTCAGTGAGCATTTTACTGTGTTTTGTCCAGTCAGTGGCATTTTACTGTGTTTATGGCCAGTCAGTGAGCATTTTACTGTGTTTTTGTCCAGTCAGTGAGCATTTTACTGTGTTTTGACCAGTCAGTGAGCATTTTACTGTGTTTTTGGCCAGTCAGTGAGCATTTTACTACTGTATGTTTTGGCCAGTCAGTGAGCATTTTACTGTGTTTTTGACCAGTCAGTGAGCATTTTACTGTGTTTTTGACCAGTCAGTGAGCATTTTACTGTGTTTTTGTCCAGTCAGTGAGCATTTTACTGTGTTTTTGACCAGTCAGTGAGCATTTTACTGTGTTTTTGTCCAGTCAGTGAGCATTTTACTGTGTTTTGTCCAGTCAGTGAGCATTTTACTGTGTTTTTGTCCAGTCAGTGAGCATTTTACTGTGTTTTTGGCCAGTCAGTGAGCATTTTACTGTGTTTTTGGCCAGTCAGTGAGCATTTTACTGTGTTTTTGACCAGTCAGTGAGCATTTTACTGTTTTTGGCCAGTCAGTGAGCATTTTACTGTGTTTTTGTCCAGTCAGTGAGCATTTTACTGTGTTTTTGTCCAGTCAGTGAGCATTTTACTGTGTTTTTGTCCAGTCAGTCAGCATTTTACTTATCTGTAGTTAATAAGTCACTTAAACAGAATAGTTATTTAAAAAATTCTGTTATGTTCAAATGTAAAGTTCAATTTATATTTATAAACAATACTATCCTTACTTATAACAGGAGTAAAGTAACTCCAAGTGTTTTAAGTATATAAGTACAGTATTAATGTGTTAGTCATTTGTATGTTGTATGTATACTTGTGAGTGTGTATAAGTGAGAAGAAAATAAAGTGTTCTCTTACTTATAGAACTTATTAACCATAATGTAATATATCACTACTACTATTTTTTTAAGAAATAATGTGGCCTCCAGCTTCCCCCATTAGCTATTATGTGTTGAGTGAGACTCCTGATGTTTTGTACGGGCAAGCTCCATTGGATTAGTCAGTCCTCGTCTTGGCTACCACTAATAACTACTACTACCTGTCACTAACCACTACCAACTAACCACTAACAACTACTTCAATTATTTCCAGCTCCTAATCTCTCTCGCGCGGGGGAGGAGATAAGAAGAGGAGAGGAAGAGACAGAGATAAACACACACTTGCTATAAAAAAATACAAGAATCTAGATAACTGTGTTGACCTTACCACACTTACACCACACTGTTCGAGGTTAAGTTAGGTTTGGTTTTATTCTGTGAACTAAAGTTTATTCCTGTATTAGCAATGGATCATATGGACCTCACTCCCAAAAATAGCAGGTTTTCTTGAGGTACACACACACACACACACACACGCACACACCAGGAAAACAATCACGTTAAGTCGTTCCTTAAAATACTTCCGTTTCTGTCACCACATGAAGCTCCCATTTTCTATGAGCCACAACAAGATGAGCTCCTCAGTTCACAACACACCTCGCTGCCGTGAGGACCTCTGGCCGAGTGACTCCTAAGATACATGGATTAATATCCCTTATCCATCTATCCTGCTGAGTGTCTGTTGGAGTGACAGTGTGGAAGAGCGCCCCTTGAATTCCCCGAGTGACCAACAGGAGCAAGACAACAGATTAACGGTAGAAATAACGGCGATAAACAAGAGCGTCTCAGTACAGGTTTGGTAATGGATACACTAACAGGCGGACACACACACACACACACACACACACCTTCCTATAACTTGAAGGTAGGAAAATACTTACCACCTCCACCTCCTCATTTTAACTCACCTTTTCACTCAAATTTACAACATTATTCACTTTACGAATATGTCAGTTTGTTCAACATTCATTATACATTATTCATGTTTTAAATCAAGTTGTATTATTGTATATTACTGTAGTTTGTACGTAAGGTTTATGAAGAGGTGAAATAATATGTAATTTAAGTCTGAACGAGGAAGAATTTGCCTACAGTATATCTCAAGCGATTATCTACTTATTTTTTTTACCTTACCCTATCCAACTTAACCCTACCCATCGTAATCCACCCTTCCCTTACCTTAATCCTTCCAGGTAACATGGGGATGGCTAATCATCACGTGAATTAAACTGTGGGTTAAATTTCAAGTAACCCGGGTTCAGAAGCCCCCACTTACCACAAACCGGGGTAAAAATTATTTATCTGCAAAAATATGTGGTGATAATTTCAGTGTTAACTAGTAAAAAAAATATAATGGGAATCTTTTCAATATTTTTTAGATGATAAGGGGGGGAGGGTGTAGCCGGAACACTGTAGTCATGACTGTGTGGTGGTGTGTATGTGGTGGTGACTGTGTGGTGGTGACTGTGTGTGGTGAGTATGTGGTGGTGGGTATGTGGTGGTGACTGTGTGGTGGTGACTGTGTGGTGGTGACTGTGTGGTGGTGGTGATGTGCTGTGTGTGGTGGTGACTGTGTGGTGGTGGTGGTGGTGACTGTGTGTGGTGATGGCTGTGTGTGGTGGTGACTGTGTGGTGGTGGTGGACTGTGTGTGGTGGTGACTGTGTGGTGGTGACTGTGTGTGGTGGTGACTGTGTGGTGGTGGTGTGTGGTGGTGATGTGGTGGTGGTGTATGTGGTGGTGGGTGTGGTGGTTGGTGTGGTGATGTTGGTGGTGAGTGTGTGTGGGTGACTGTGTGGTGGTGGTGTGGTTGGTGGGTGTGTGGTGGGTGACTGTGTGGTGGGAGTGTGTGTGGGTGTGGTGGTGTAGATGACTGTGTGGTGGTGACTGGTGATGACTGTGTGGTGGTGAGTATGTGGTGGTGACTGTGGTGATGACTGTGTGGGTGACTGGTGATGACTGTGTGGTGGTGACTGGTGATGACTGTGGTGGTACCTGGTGGTGGTGACTGTGTGGTGGTGGGTGGTGACTGTGGGGTGATGACTGTGTGGTGGTGACTGTAGTGGTGGTGACTGTGGGGGGATGACTGGTGATGACTGTAGTGGTGGTGACTGTGGGGTGATGACTGTGGTGGTGGTGACTGTGGTGTTGAAGGAAGATCAGTAACATACGTATCCCTCACCATATGTTAACTTAACCCAACCCTGCCTCTCACCTCAACAAGAGAGTCTGACTGTCGTTTAAGCTGTGTCAATATTTATCACCTTAGTTGTAAATATATTGTTTGTGCCATCCTCAGGTTAGCCATCCCAGCTCATTTAGCACCTGTAGATTAACCTAACTAATCCAATGGTAACTTAATCTAATGCTAACTTAACCTAATAGAAACTTGACCTAATGATTAACTTAACCTAACACTAATGCTAACTTAACTCTCCCAGGTACTAGCATTAAGGTGATCTAATTTAGACTTGTTCCGGCAGGTACTTATATAAACACACACACATATACTTACATACACTAACACACACACTCATACTTACATACACTAACACACACACATATACTTACATACACTAACACACACACACATACTTACACACACACACACAAGGGCGACTCATCTTCAGGACCTGTTTGGGAACATCTTGGGCTGGTTTGACTGGATTAAGAGGCGTGTATGTATGTATGTACGTGTTTGTGTGTATTTATGTTTATGCTTAACCGTGTGTGTGTGTGTGTGTGTGTGTGTGTGTGCAAAATATATATATACAGGTATTAACATAACCGCATACGTACATATAAAAAACATACATGTGTGAGCGTTAAATCTTACACACACATTGTTGGTCCTTTTAGTATATAAGGGAGTTAATATCTGTGTTGACCCCAGTGTTGATGTTGACCCCAGTGTTGGTGTTGACCCCAGTGTTGGTGTTGACCCCAGTGTTGGTGTTGACCTCAGTGTTGGTGTTGACCCCAGTGTTGATGTTGACCTCAGTGTTGGTGTTGACCCCAGTGTTGATGTTGACCCCAGTGTTGATGTTGACCCCAGTGTTGACCCCAGTGTTGATGTTGACCTCAGTGTTGACCCCAGTGTTGATGTTGACCCCAGTGTAGGTGTTGACCCCAGTGTAGGTGTTGACCCCAGTGTTGGTGTTGGCCTCAGAGTGTTGGTGTTGTCTCCAGTGTTGGTGTTGACCTCTGAGTGTTGTTGACGAGGGTGGAACTGGAGTGTGTCGCAACTCTGGTTCTGAGGGCCACTTTTTTTTATTGGGCACCCCCCTACATCCTGTGCAAGGGGAAGCGCCTACAGCGCCCATCTGGGAAGCATGCTAAGTTCATGCTTGCCTTTATTTCTCATGAGTTAAGGGTGTAGGAGCCTGAAGGGTCATAGTTTTTATGTCAAGGGCGTAGAAGCCTGAAGAGTCATAGGTTTTTGTCAGCAAGTTATTGGAAGCTCCAACAACTTTCCCTGAATACGAATTCGCAACTTCTCTATTTACAAAAAGTTCCTACTTTACTGCTAGGTGAACAGGGACCAATGGGGCTAGGAAGTGTGTCCAAACAACTTTCCTCCGGTCCGGGAATCGAACCCGTGACATCTCGCTTGAGAGGCAAGAGCGGTACCGCTCTACCACCGGCGCCCCCCTGAGGGTCACTGTCACTGTAATCTGAACAGCTTGAGTCCTGACCTGACCTGACCTAATCACTTCAACTCCTATTCTAACCTAACCTCCTCAAGTCCTAACCTAATCTAACCACCACAAAACGTAACTTAAGTCATTACAGCGACCAACAGAGTATTGGATGCAAGCGCGTGTAATTTAGACATCAGTTGCCAGAATGTGTGTTACAGTATTGCCTGATCACCTGCCACTGCTCCACTGTATTACCCACCACTACTGTACTGTATTTACAGATCAATTACTACATATTGTTGCTTTATTGTCTTATGAATTATTGTCTTTTACTGAAATATTAAGAGAAATAACAGAAATGGGGAATATTGGGGAATTTTTGCCTCTGGATTTGGGGAATCTTAGTCTTCATCATCTGGCAACATCGCTCACCAACCAACATCCAGCCAGGAATATTATACATGTTGCATCACCTCATGAACACATTATCCTCACCAAGATCAAGTATATCCGTAGTTTTCCCTGTGTTCGTAGTTAAGTATAATGTGTAATAGTGTCCATTTGATGTTAATGCCACCTTCCCAGGACTTACTTATTTCCTAATGCTATAAAACATATGTTACAGTACACAAGATATTTAATTGAGGATTATTTAAGGTTGTACCAGATAATTGTTTGGTTTTCTCAGTGATATGCCAGTCGAAAATTAATAACCCTCTGCCTCCCCTGTCCAAGACCACACTGCCGCCCTTCCTCCCTCCCCCTCCATGACCAAGACCACACAACACCACCGATCTTATTATTATCTTGATAAACCTGATATATTTTAGTGCTAAAGACTTAACCCGTAGTGATGGAAAATATTCTTAATGATTAATTCAAAGGATGAAAGTTTGTGTTATATTATACGATGTTTTGTACGTAGGTAAATTAAACTTATATTACTCGGTGATGTCGTCCGCTAATTTATTGTATTATTACAGCGAGGTCAACACCATGAGGGTCATAAACAGCGGACAACCACAGACAAATGTGGACCCCGTCGATGAGGGACACGGCGAGTTGTGGGATGGTAGAGCGACTCGCTTCAACAACAGAGACGAGCGGACCAACGTCCAGACAGTCAACAGTGACCGTCCACCGCCGGCCTACCCGTGTCAGGAAGTGTGTATACAGTGCGGCAAGAAGGTGACGGAGGCGGACAACGACGCAGACGTTACCATCACCCAACGAGGCCCCGAGTCCGGCCCGGGTTGTCCCTGCGAGTGCCACAAACAGTTACAGAGCGACAAGTTAACGGAGGCGGTGGATCAGGTCTCTCAGGGCCACATACCCCCCGCCGGCCCTCGCTGCCTCCCGGGATGTGGGTATTCTGGTCTGCCGTGTTATAACTGCAGTTTACTTCAGGAGCACCTAGAGCCAGAGGGCACGACGACCTCCAGTCAGTCCCAGACGTTCTCCCCGCAAATCTATACGATCGAGCTGATGGAACCGCCGTCGGGGAGCAATACACAAGGTTCTGGGTCTCGTCACCGGGACAACGCGACGGAGAACACGATGTTGGCCAGGAACAGAAAAAGGACGTGTTTCTCCATAGTAGCTTTTGTTATTGCTATAAATGTGGTCGTTGGCATCTTCAGAATGTTGATGGGGACCAGAAATCACTACGGCTACTAGAGGTTACCATGACTACTAGAGGGAGGTAAGTTAGTGTTACCATGGTTACTAGAGGTTACCATGACTACTAGAGGGAGGTAAGTTAGTGTTACCATGGTTACTAGAGGTTACCATGACTACTAGAGGGAGGTATGTTAGTGTTACCATGGTTACTAGAGGTTACCATGACTACTAGAGGGAGGTAAGTTAGTGTTACCTTGGTTACTAGAAGTTACCATGGTTGCTAGAAGTTACCATGGTTACTAGAAGTTACCATGGTTACTAGAGGTTACCATGACTACTAGAGGTTACCATGGTTACTAGAGGTTACCATGGAGATAAACTATTGATAAGAGAAAACAAATGAAAAGATGGGCAGGTAGACTGTGTAGGGATGAGAGTGTCAGCCTCTTGAGGTAAAATAATGTTTAGTTAATACAAAGAAAATATTCATAAGGATTTAAATTTAGATAATGGTTTTTTGTTCATAATTTTGGTTCATTATTATTCTTAAATATATATAATTAAATGAGTTTGTGTTTTGTTATTAGTGTTTTATTCATTCTTAAAATAAATAAATAAATTAGATAATATTTCTCAGTTCATTCTTAAAATAAATAAATAAATACAGTATTGGCATTTATTGTTCTTAAAATAAATTAATAAATGAGGTAATATTTTATTCAAAGTCTTTGGTTTGTGGAAATTATTATAAATAAAACGATAAATTGTTTAGAGACTTTACCAAACTGGAATAGACGCGACTAATACGAACTTATTTCCAGAACGGATCGGCGGACTGTACGTTGGTGGACACGTCACTGTTCATACCTTAGACAGACACCTTTATTATTTACGCCAGATGTATTAGTATGTCATTGATGTAATTTGCTCTTTTTTTACTTTGACATTTACTACAGGTTTATACACGACAGAAAATGATTTACGCTGTAGAATTTATACCATGAGGCAAGGCTGTATCGAGTGAATGGAAGGAATAACATCAGTGTTGGTCAAGGTGTTCGAGGAGAAGGGGCCATTGAGTCATCCATAACCAGATATAAAAGCCAAAAAAACATCAATAAATTATCTGTCTCGTGTAATTTGGCTACACCGTTAATTGGTTATATACGCCTCAGAGACGACCAGAGGTGACGGGGGGTGGTTACAGATGCCTTATGACCCCTCCCTCCTTCTCCTCTCCCCCAACCTAGATACAGCCCTGTGTGTTCAGTATTACATTAGTGGTTTATAATAGAAAGTTTTGTACTGTATAAAGTCATTTACCCTAAACTACTAACAAACTGAACTGATGAATTATATTATTATTGTTCCTTTATATTCTATTCAACTATTCAATAAAGATCTTTTTATTAACTGAAAAAGTAATTATTTATCTTTTTTTGGGGCCATAGTAAAATTTTTATTTATTGGTACAGCTTCTCCCCGACTTACAACTGGGTTAGGGACCCAAATCCAGGTCATAAGTCGAAAATGCTTAAATAATACATAGAAAATGTAAAATGGGTGTCTCTTTTTCTTCTCAGCACCACAAAACTCTCACTTTTAAGCCTGCCAGCCATTTTAAAGTGAATTACAAACGAAATTTTTTTCAGTACACAGCACAATCACTGACATTGGGACTCGAAAATACGTAATTTGACAAAATTTTGGTACGACTGACGCGGTCGTATGTCCGGGTGGTCGTAAGTCGGGGAGGAGCTGTATTTACATAAAACAATTTTTAGTAATTTATTCTACTATTAAGTAAAGATTTTTTTATAAACCAAATATAAATTATTTTGTTTTCGCCACGAGTCTAATTTATTGTTAATTTGACGTAAATAATTTTAATTGATGAAGTTACATTATTAACCAAACCTTCAGTGATCTCAAAACTAACTTAAGTTTACTGTGTCATAGAGTCGTGGTGTAGTCAAGATTAACACCGAGGCTATGTGCTGTTTTAGCCTCTGGAGTACCTGAAGATTAACCACCCCCCTCTTCTAAGATAGTTTTAGGGGGGGGGGGTAATTTTCAGGTGGTTCATAAAGGCTAAAATTGCTTGTAACCTCGTTGGTGGTCAGAACTACTATACATTATTCAAGTTAACAGATGATTGGCTAAAAACCCCCTGACCTCCTCATACCTTATACTACCAATTAAAACAACATTACCCTAATACCCTGACCCTCTTGTACCCTTATACCTTATACTTTGAAAACAATAACAGCATCCAAGTGTAAATTGCCAGCAGTTGAAACACACAAATAATATCCCATACTAAAACAGCTTTATGAGTCTTGGGCCCCATTATGGTACACAGCTTGCGGTCTTTAAGGTATTTAATAGCTTAATTATAAACTCAAACGCATATTTTCTAATCTAAGTGATAGATGTATTTAGTGTTTGAGGGAAGGTTGGCGTCGGCCGTCACCTAATTCGTGTTCCGGTAAATGCCTTTTTTTTTTTTTTTTTTTTTTTTTTTATTTTGTAGCTGTGGGATTTTTTTTACCGTGGAGGTTATTGTGGGAGGGATGGGAGGTGTTAATTCAGCATTACTCTCTCTCTGCTTTCTTTCTCTCTCCCTTCCTGTTATTAATTCTCTCCCTCATTCATTCCCTCAGTGTTATTAATCCACCTCCACAGTATTACAGTACATTACCACCACCAGCAGCCACTCATAATTCTGTCTATGGGTCAACACCTTTCATTACACGACTTTCAACTCTTGTGTACAATTTCCTGCACCACCAAAATCACCATCGAAAAGACTTACGTGTGTTGTGATGACTTGGTGTGTTTTGATGACTTAAAAGTGAACTAAGAGTGTTGTGATGACTTAGGAGAGGACTAATGTGTGTTGTGATGACTTAAGAGTGAACTAAGAGTGTTGTGATGACTGAGAACAGGACTAATGTGAGTTGTGATGACTTAAGAGTGAACTAGGAGTGTTGTGATGACTTAGGAGAGGACTAATGTGCGTTGTGATGACTTAAGAGTGAACTAGGAGTGTTGTGATGACTTAAGAGTGATGATAACGTGTATTAATGTTTTCTCGATGGTGTTAAATACTCTCTATAATGATATAAAGTTTACAGTATTATAATTGCTTTTAAAAATACAATATTGATATAATGACAACCACTGATTTAATATATTACAGATATATTGTAAGGTAAATAAGGTTTAGAAATCATTGAGGTTTTTTGTTATTTTTTTGTTAGAGATTAAAGTAACGTCTTGTTAGAAAAGTTAATGATATTTGTAAGATATAAAAATACTATTAAATTTTTAGTTATGAAAATATTAAGTTCTTCAACATTAAATTTAAAGAATAAATTGTTTTTATATTATTGTATTTATATTTTATTAAACCTTATTGGTATTTTATTTTGTTCAGGAAAGTTTCGTTGGATGGAAGTGTGTTCAGTAGAGCCATGGCTTTAAATGAGACATGACCTGGCCCTTGAGGTGATATGACTTGGCCCTGAAGATAACCTGACCTGGCCTCAAGATGATAATATGACCTGGCCCTTGAGGTGACATGACCTGGGCCTTAAGGTGACATAAACTGGCCCTGAAGATAACATGACCTAACCCTCAAGATAATAATATGACCTGGTCCTCAAGATAACATGACCTGGCCCTGAAGATAACATGACCTGGCCCTTAAGGTAGAGTAAAGTAAAGTAACAATGTAAAGTAGAATAAAGTAACAGTAAAGTAGAGTCAAATAAAGTAAAGTTAATTTGAGTCAAGAGACCATCAACAATAGGCTGCCAGTGTCAGAACAATACCTGCTCTGACTGGTTCAATAACATTTATACGCTGATTTATTCGCATTCCTGTGGCTAAGAGATGTGCTCAGTCATTCAGTAGCATCGTCGTACAATACACACACACACACACACACGTACATTCACCAAAACATACATATAGACAGTCACAAAAATACATACACACACACACACACACACACTCACCATAGCATACATGTAGGCAGTCACAAATAATATACATACACATGTACACTCACCAACACACATATATAGACAGTCATAAATATACATACATACATACATACACACTACATCCTTGACCACCGAAGGGTCAAGACGTACCTGGGGATCCTCTGGGCCATACCAACCCCCTCTCCTGAACCCTCCTCCCCACCGGAATATCAACAAGTTCTCGCTAGAATGGAACCAGTGGTGAACAGTGCTTAAGTCAGTGAGAACAACTCAACAGTAACAGCTGAGTTGTACCCAAGTTAACCTTCACAGAGTGAGGTCCCAGGTACCCAGTGATAACTGCCCGTGAGACCCAACAACAACCAGCGATGTGTTAATCCGTCCACGATAGGAAGGCCTGGGACCACACCTCACTCATAAAACACCATCTGTGAGGGAATTACTACACCACGTCGGGTCCCTCATAACACCATCTGTGAGGGAGTTACTACACTACGTGTTTGCTGTTCAATACCAACATTAATCTGTATGTTCCTTTACCTTTTTCTAATGAAGGCTTTTGTTAAACCACCAATTATGTAATAAGTCATTCATGTCCAGTGTATATTTTCAGCCTTCGGGCTGCAGAATTTTTTCGATAAACCGTTAATGATTATTATCATTATTACACACACAAACACACAGGAACCCAGGAGGGGTCCTGACCCCCCTTTTCACCAGATAATTCCAATACTTTTTCTTTAATACAGTATTGTACTCAGGCAATTTTATATAGTAAAAATTAATTACTCTTCATCTCAGAATATCTCCTAATATCAAGTGCACATGGCCTCAAAATGTCCATGATAATGATCAGATTTCAAAATTTTCCGGGGGGTTTACAGCATCCCCCAAAACTCCCCAGCTGGGTAGCCTCACTTTGTTCGCCATGTTCCCCCCACCCAAAACTTCTTGGACCCCCCTTTTGATATTCCTGGATCCGCCCCTGTATACAGTACAAGGAGGCTCACCCCAAAAAGTGGTGGCGTCATCTTTAAACTCCCGAAGTTACCCCTTAAAGTCGATACAGCCAGAGAAAGAAAACGGAACCGTATTAGGTAGGTACACCCCCCTCTCTCTCTCTACTTACCTACAATCCAGCAACATCGGTCCAGGAGGTAGTAGACTCGACTCAATCATAGCAACACTCTGTAAGCACAAATCAACTTATTACTCACAAAATCCCATCAAATACGTCAAAATAAGCAAACAACGGTTAAATAATAAGTTACATTAACATAAACTAAAGATATGATCAATTTTCTTACCATTTTAATCTGACAATTCCGAAACAAGACAAGCACTTTCCGTAGACTTTATAAAAATGCCACCAGAGAAAACGTAACATGTTGAAGGGGTAACTATCCTAATGTACTGCACCTCCCTTATTACACGTTTATTCCCAATGGACTTACAGTATTATGGTAACAGAGCTCTTGCAATAATCTCCTCTTGTAATTTCCGTTGAATTTATGCAAAATAGACGCATACAGAATGGTTTAGGTAAGTGAGTGTTAGTCGTGGGTGTTCTATTTATTTTGAAGCTTTTGAGGTCAAATGGGTTCCAGTTCTTATAGGTCCCAGTTCTAATAGGCCTCGGTTCTAATAGGCCTCGGTTCTAATAGGCCTCGGTTCTAATAGGCCTCGGTTCTAATAGTCCCCAGTTCTAATAGGCCTCGGTTCTAAAATTCCCCCAGTTCTAATAGGCCTCGGTTCTAAAAGTCCCCAGTTCTAATAGGCCTCGGTTCTAAAAGTCCCCAGTTCTAATAGGCCTCGGTTCCAATAGTTCCCAGTTCTAATAGGCCTCGGTTCTAATAGTCCCTAGTTCTAACAGTCCCCAGTTCTAATAAGCCCCACTTCTAATAGGCCCTACCTAACCAAATCTTATCATTAAGAATGGGAACCATTAAGACAAGGGCCTATTACAACTGGATCCCATTAAGACTAGGGCCTATTACAACTGGGGCCCACCACTCCACGCACTTTCTGTCAAAACAAAACACAAACGCATTTCCCCTACGTAGCTAAAGAGACCCATATTCATTGTGTGTATTTGCGCCGGAAAACACTGAAAAATTTATGGTTTGTTGACAGCTCGAAGCAATTTGCGCGGGAAACTACTAAAGAGTGACAATATTTCGCGGGGAATTTAAATTAGTCTGTAGTTCACGTGTAAATAATGAACTTGTGTGTATGTGTGTGTGTGTGTGTGTGAGGGTGGGACGGTGTGTGTGTTTGTAAGTATTGAATATAATGTATAATTAATAAAATAGGAGATATATTATTCGTATTGTGGATGATTTATAAATATGCAGAATTAGTGAGTTATTGAAGAAATTATTTATATGGGTTTTTAGTGGAGTTTAATAGATAATTAGTATTTATAGACACATATACATCTCTATCACACACACACACACACATACGCACACACATACACACACACACACACATACACACACACATACGCACACACACACACGCACACATCAGCTGAGACGCCAAGAAGCTTCTCTCTCACGTTGATATGCAAATTAAATCTGATGTCAACAGCACGCGCGTGTGTATGTGTGTGTGTGTGTGTGTGTGTGTGTGTGTGTAACTACTGAGAAAGAAAAAACTTACATAGATACACACAGACGAGCACTCGTTATAAAACACACATCCCGTTCACACACCCCCTCACCCCCCCCCCTTAAATCTCGTCGTAGCTATCAGAAAAAAACCCAGACAGACAACAGGTCATCCAACAGAGCCGTTTTACCTGTCACATCACCTAACAGACAGATAGACTAACGGAGAGACAGACAAACAGAGACAACGGGTAACAGGGTCGTTTGAGCGCCCCGTTCTTCCCTGTCGCAAATTTTCAACAAATCTACACACTGACGGGTTATGGACGGTCCGAAATGTTTGTTTTATCCGTCACAGCTACAGGAATACCTAATAGACAGATAGACATACAGACAGACAGACATTATTCTATTGGTGAGTTTCAGTGCCCCGTTTTATCTTGATGTACTGTATATGATCAACAAAAAAATTGTTTCATTGTCACAACTAATAGAACACAGACGGACACACTGACAGAAGGAAACACACACAGACAGCCATACAGATAGAACAAAAGACATACATACTAAAAGACACATGGCAAGACAAACAGAAAGACACCAAGCCAGTCAGACACACAGACAGCCCTCAAACTTACCGTCAGACGTAGATTCTTGGCCATAGTACTTTCAGCCAGGGAAGCGAAAGGTTTGTCAGCGCCCCAGCATTCCACGTACTTAGTCATCTTAGTGGCGCTCTTAAGACGTGGCCGTTCCTCCAAGCCACCTACACCGCCTCCTTCACCGTCCTCCTCCTGTCGTCACGCCCAGGGAGGGAGATAACGTTAGTGGTTTAAATTTAACTCCATCAAACCTTCTAACCATCGTATATGACATTATTTATCTATGTATGTTAATCAGTGATCTGACTTGACATGGTACTAAACTAACCTAATCTACTCTACCCTCCCCCCTTCCCTAACCTAACCTACCCCTCCCCTAACCTGTTACTGACCTTACTGGAGACGATAAGGAAGGTGTCAACCCTATGATCAGCCAGGTACTGATCTCTGAGGTGACCCTGACCTGACTCGACCTGGAACCTGTCGTCCAGCTGGTTGAGGGTCGCCCGTGTGATGTGGACCCTTCTGCAGGTGGTTACAGGTGGTGTTAGTGAGGCCCAGGTGGTGATGGGGAGAGGAGGTGGTGATGGGGAGGGGAGGTGGTGATGGGGAGAGGAGGTGGTGATGGGGAGGGAGGTGGTGATGGGAGGAGGTGGTGATGGGAGGGAGGTGGTGATGGGGAGGGAGGTGGTGATGGGAGGAGGTGGTAGTGAGGCCAGGTGGTGATGGGGAGGGAGGTGGTGATGGGAGGGAGGTGGTGATGGGGAGGAGGTGTGGTGATGGGGAGGTGGTGATGGGGAGGGAGGGTGGTGATGGGAGGGGAAGACTACCCTACAAGTAATAGGTGTGAGAAACAGGTATTTAGTGGGGTCATTAGGAGTGATAATGAATTTTTAATAACATGGGCCAAAGTGCTAAGCCACACCTCCCCCCCCTCCCTTTGCTATGGTACGAGGTAGATAGATAGATAGATAGATATAGATAGATAGATAGATGCTCTTATTGGCACACTTTCCTATAACGTCATCAAACTCTACAAGATTGGGCGATGACGTCATCAAAGCAACCCCATCAAACCCTTGATTGGCTTACTCACCACGGGATACTAGTGACGTCATCAAAACAACCCCATCAAACCCCTGATTGGCTTACTCACCACGGGATACTAGTGACGTCATCAAAGCAACCCCATCAAACCCCCTGATTGGCTTACTCACCCCTTGACCCAAAACCTTAATATGATTGGCCAATTACCTCATCAATGCTCCCCAAAAATCCTCTGATTGGTTGACTTACCCCGGGACATCCATGTGATTGGCCAGGGTGACGTCATCAGACCACACGTCATACTGCCACTGCGCAGACCAACACACCGCACAGCACATTACCCGTGTGGATCCCTATGCGCATATCCGCTTGAAGCCCACTGCGCAGCGCACCTTCCTGGGGGAATGATGATAATGAAATACTGCAGTAATTCATCTCTCTCTCTCTCTCTCTCTCTCTCTCTCTCTCTCTCTCTCTTATAACACGCGTCAACACACCACTAATTATCGTCTTCGTCAATTATCAACAACTACTAATTAGGTTGTTTGTCCCTGTCATTACCTGGTGAAGTGCCGCCCATACTGGCACTCTCCCAACCTCTCCTAACATTACTCCCTCCTCTCCTCCCCCCCACCTCTCACCCCTCTCCTCCTCACCTCTCACCCATCACTTCACCTCCTCCCTCCCTCACCTCTCACCCACTCACTCCCCCTCACTCCCTCACTCCTCCCTCTCACCTCTCACCCCTCCCTCACTTCACCCTCCTCCTCCCTCACCTCTCACCCCCTCTCCTCCTCATCCCCCTCTTCCCCCTCACTCCTCCCTCACCTCTCACCCCTCACTCCCCCTCACTCACTCCCCCTCCTCTCCCCCCTCACCTCCTCACCTCTCACCTCCCTCCCCCCTCACCTCTCACCCCTCACCTCTCACCCCCCTCACCTCACTCCCCTCTCACCCCTCACTCCCCCCCTCTCACCCCTCACTCCCCTCACCTCTCACCTCACCCCTCCCTCACCTCCTCACCCCCTCACCCCTCACTCCCCCTCACCTCTCGCCTCCTCACTCCTCACTCCTCCTCCCCTCCTCTCACCTCCCCTCTCACCCCTCACCTCTCACCTCCTCACTCCTCCCTCTCCTCACCTCACCCCTCCTCCTCCTCACCTCCTCACTCCTCCTCCCTCTCCTCCCCTCACCTCTCACCCCTCACCCCTCCCTCACCTCTCACCCCTCTCACCCCTCCTCCTCCCCTCACCTCTCACCTCCCTCCCTCCTCCCTCCCCACCCCTCACCTCCCCCCCCCTCACCTCTACCCCCTCTCACCCCCTCACTCCTCCCTCACCTCTCACTCCTCCCTCCCCTCACTCCCCTCACCTCTCCCACCCCCTCTCCCCCCTCTCACCTCCTCACTCCCCTCACCTCTCTCACCCCTCACTCCCCTCCTCTCACCCCCTCTCACCCCTCACTCCCCTCTCACCCCTCCCTCCTCACCTCTCCCCCTCACCCTCCTCTCCCCCTCTCCCCCCCTCTCACCCCCTCACTTCTCACTCTGGGTCATCACGTTCACATAATTCTCTAATTAAGATTTGTGTGATACCGAGGAGGAAGAGGAGGAGGGAGGAGGAGGAAGGAATCCTGAAACAACATAATGATGATCTCTCTCTCTCTCTCTCTCTCTCTCTCTCTCTCTCTCTCTCTCTTATACTGTAATATTAAAATCATCATATCTTAACCAATGACAAGTGTCCAAAACTTCCATTAGCCAATCACAACAGACCTCAAACACCCGCGGATAGTGATTGGCTATCAACTAATGTAAACAAACTTTCAACCAATCACGGGGGAACCGACATGACCCTTCCATCACACACGACACATGATAGGCTGTAGAGGCACCTCCCGCTATCTACGTCACTCACACACCTCGCTGTCAGCCAATCAGAGTTGGGAGACCGTTAGATCGTTAAACTGACATGAAATTTAAATTCAAATTTTAAAAAAATGACACTATTTATATAACATTAGAGAGAGAGAGAGAGAAGAGAACTGGACTTCAAACTAGCCTCTACAGTAGTTGGTATAAGGGTTGTTACGGCCGTGTAGTGTTTATCTATTTTTGTTATATAACAGCTCCCATGTTGTTCCATATTATTCCTGTAATGATGTGTTATATTACTATTATATATTGTAGTCACCTTAACGCTGTGCTGTTAAGGTTTTAACTGTTATTATTGGTTCAAGCTCATCTTATATCTTTATTTAGTATTGTAACAAGTATTCTTTGTTCTCTAACGACCATCTGCATCGTTAAACGACCCACCGGCGGGAGCCGACCTTACATATAGGACCCACCAACTGACGGAGTTAGTTCAGTCTTCTTGTCATACAGTTCACATCCTTTGAGTGTCTCTCGTCATGACTTACACTTCATTTATTTGTGTTGTTCCTGTCGCCACCAATGTCGTATAGCTATGTGAGTACCTATTTATGTCTCTATTTATGTCCATCGGTATTTGCTTCGTTACATTTAAGTAATTCAGTGTTGTTTCACGTTAGTTAATCTCGGTGTTTTTTTATATGTTTACGCAGTGTTAACGTTATCAATGCTTTATTTTTGTTCTTTTGATGTTTCGATGTTTAGTATCATTTGTGTCTTAAAAGTTTCGATGGTGAATCAATTTGTTGTGACAGCCTACAGAGGCTCTTTATTGTGTTAATATTTAATTAATCTAATTCTTAAAGTTTACTTTATTTATTTTTATTCCTTTTCATTTACTTCACTTTTTTTGTTTGTTACTCCTAGAACCTGGATATTAAAGTAAATTAGAGACGACGTAACAGGGCATAAGGCCAATCCAGCACCTAGCCCCAGGCCCACCCCAGCACCTAGCCCCAAGACCCCAGCCCCCAGCACCTAGCCCCAGACCCCAGCACTAGCCCCAAGACCCCAGCCAGCACCTAGCCCCCAGACCCCAGCACCTAGCCCCAAGACCCCAGCCCAGCACCTAGCCCCAAGACCCCAGCACCCACCTGATGGCGTGAATCATCTCCAGCCCCATCTTGACACAGTTGACGGCATGGTTCGGTCTGGATACCGGGAGACCAGACACACAGTAGTAACAGTCCCCAAGAATCTTAATCCTGAGGCACTGGTTTTCCTGTTGGGAGAAGTGAGAGAGTGTGAGAGTGTGGAAAGAAGAAGAGAGAGAGAGAGAGATCGACTTTCAAGAATTTTTTAAAGTGCCAAATGCCTTTAGGCCACATACTCTCCTTCTCCTCCTCTTCCTCCTTCTCCTCCTCCACCTCCACCTCCTCCTCCTCCTCCTCCTCCTCCTCCTCCTCCTCCTCCTCTTCCTCCTCACTGGACTAAAGTTGCCTAAAGGGAGGAATTGCTTCATCCTGTTACATGTTAGGGTGAGTGATGTTTCTCTCTCTCTCTCTCTCTCTCTCTCTCTCTCTCTCGTGTACAAGAAACGGGAATAAGAACAAAGAAAATTACATTATTACTTATTGTCATCATCATTATAGCTACTACAACCATTATTATCATGATCATCACTACTACTACAACTATCACCACCGCCACCACTACCACCACCACCACCACTATCACCACCGCCACCCACCACCACCACTCACCTTGGCAATTTGGTCAAAGCGTCCGAACAGGTCATTTAAGGTCATCACTAGGTCACACGCGCTGAGCTGCTCTGAGAGTGGGGTGAAGTTGACGATATCTGCGTATAGTATGCTGAGGGAGTAAGAGGGGTAGAGGGAGGTGGGTGAGAAGGGGTAAGTGGGTGGGGGTGGGTGAGAGGGAGGGAGGGAGAGTGGGAGGAAATGGGACAGGGGAGGAAGGTGAGAGGGTGAGAGAGAGAGGTGGAGAGGGAGGGAGAGGAGGGAAAAATTTCGTTAGGGAGAGGGAGGAGAGGGGGGAGGAGAGAGGTGTAGGGAGGAGAGAGGTGGGAGGGATAAATTAAAAACATTACTCAATATAAACATAAAATTCACTAAAATTATCAAACAAACACAACAAAATCCTGAATTAAAACACAAATAAACAAAGAATCCCCCACCCCCCCCACCCCCCAATAAAAAAAGTCCTCACAGCAGGTAATAAATGTTAATAACCCGGGAACCATTTGGCATACGGGTCAACGCCATGAATTTTATCAGATAAAAAAATCTAAATAAAATAAAATGTGAATGATTTTTAGTTTTTGATCCAATTTTCCTGAATATTGACGAAGGTAAAAATTAGGAACTGTGTTGAATTTTATTATTTTGGTGGGATATAGACTCGCAGGGATAGACTCAATTTAACGATGAATAGACTCAGTTAGCGTTGGATAGACTCAGTTAGCGTTGGATAGACTCAGTTAACGTGATAGACTCAACTAACGTGGTTGTGGCGCTAGATAGACTCAGTTAATGTTGAATAGACTCAATTTAACGACGAATAGACTCATTTAACGTTGAATAGACTCACCTGACGTTGTTGTGGCGCTGGACATAAAGGTCGTGGAACTGTTTCTTGGGTTGAGCGTTGGGTGGCAACTCGGTACATTCTCCTGCCATTCTTAACATGATGTGACGCTTTACCTGGGGAGAGAATAGTGGTAGTAGTGGTAGTAGTGGTGATGGTGGTGGTAGTTGTAGTAGTGGTGATGGTAGTGGTTGTTAAAAATACTTATAATTTAATACTCGTATAATCGTCATCATCATCATCATCATCATCATCATCTGGTAGTTAATAATGAAGTAAATTACTGACGAAAAAATAGAAGTTTGTCAACAATTTTAATAAACCTGAGGAGCGGCCTGTGACCTTGGCCATGTCGGCTCCCCTTGGCCATGTTAATCATACCCTGGCCATCTTAGTCTTTCCTTGGCCATGTTAGCCCCCCTAGCCATGGATGTCACCCAAGCCATGTTAGGCTCCCTGGCCATATTAGTTACCCTGGCCATGTTAAATCTTACCCAGGCCATGCTGTCCACCCTGACCAGCCTGTATTAACCTGTGTGTGTGGTCCAATTACGGCCCAGTACCCCTGTAAGTATGGTCCAGTATTCCCATTCCAGGAAATCGTGGTATCTCGTTAAGGTTAGGGATTAAAACCTGTTCTAGTCCTGGGGTCATTGTGTTGGGGGAGGAAGGGGTGGTAGAGGAGGAGGAGTAGGAGTAATTACCACCACCACCACCACCACTACTATCACCACCACTACCACCACCACCACCACTACCACCACCACCACCACCACCACCACCACCACCACTATCACCACCACCACCACTACACCATCAGAATAAGAGAACAATAACCACACAACACCACAAAGCTTTCAGGCCACAATACCAAAAGAAACTCAAATCTGTGTATCAAAGAAAACGGGATCCGGTGACTAGCTGTGACTCGTAGAAAATGGGAATTACTGGTGAATGATGGTATGGCTCTCTCTCTCTCTCTCTCTCTCTCACACACCTCTCCATCTCTCCCATAAACCCTCTTCCCTCCCTCTCACACCCCTCTCACCCTCCCTCCTCTCACCGTTCAGTCCTCATTACTGCGATAAAATTTCACCAGCTTATTATATTTATACAAACACAGTTAATTACAACAGACGAGGAACAATAATAAAAGTAATAGTAATAGTAATAGTAATAATAGTAATTCTACCCAATCCATCACAATATGTAAACAAACCAATATTGCTTTAGGCTCGCGGTCACTTGGAAAATATAAACTCCGAACTCACAACAATAAGCGATCATTCAAGTTTTTATTGTTACCTCCGGCCGATCTGATTCTTTATTAAAATGTTCTTCACCTTTAAAGATCTTCTGATCCTTTTATAAGACGTTCTGATTGTTCTTAAAATTCTTCTATCTTAAAATGTTCTGAAGGATTCTGTTTTTTTAGGAAAGGGTTCTGATTAGTTTTAAGGGGTTCTGATTGGTTTAAAGAGGTTTTAAAATTTCTCAAAAAGATTCGAGTATTTTAGAATGATGTTGAGTTATTTAGAAAAGCTCTGAATAATAATAATAATAATAATAATATCAATAAAACTGTCACCACCAAAACTATCATGGCAACACTGGCGGCCACTTACTGTGTATATATTATTCAAGGCGCCACTCAGCGAGCTTTAAACACAAGCCAGAGAACTGACCAATCACTGAGCTCACGGGGCCACTCAGTGAGCTTAAAGCATTCAGTGAGAATTGGGGGAACCTATCATTAAGGTTATAGGGCCACTCAGTAAGCCTGAAGGACCATTTAGTGAGCTTACAGGGCCACTTTGTAGGCTCACAGGGCCACTCACTACGCTTATAAGGTTATTTAATGAGCATATAAGGCCACTTAATGAGCTTACAAGGGCCACTCAGTCAGCTTATACAGTAAATCAGACTAGGAACACAGGCCACTCAGTCAGCATACAAGGGCCACTCACTCAGCATACAAGGGCCACTCAGTCAGCATACAAGGGCCACTCAGTCAGCATACAGGGACACTCAATCAGGTTACAAGACCACTCAGCGAGCGTACTCAGCCAATCAGAGATAGACACAGGCCACTCAGCGAGCTTACAAGGGCCACTCAGAAAGAGCATTCCTGAGGTGAAGAGGGGGAGCAACCTCTCCCACCTGAGGGAGAGGTTGCTCCTCTCCCCACTCTACCTCCTCTCACTCTACCTCCCTCTCACTCTACCTCCCCCTCACTCTGCCTCCCTCTCACCTCTCACCCCCACACCTCCCTCTCACTCTACCTCCCTCTCCTCCTACCTCCCTCTCACCTCTCCCTTCCCTCCTTGACACTCCCATCACGGCTGAGGTTTAATTATCTCTCCTTCTCTCCCTCTTTCTCCCTCTCTCTCTCACCTCTTTCACTTCCCTCACCTTCTCTCCCTCTTCACCTTCTCTCCCTCTCTCCTTCTCTCTTGTTCTGTTATCTCCCCTCCTTACTCTCTCTTTCTGTCTCTCATTAACTCTCTCTCATTAATCCCTTCTCTCTCTCTCTCATTAACTCTCTCTCTCTCTCTCTCTCACAACTTGACCTGGTCGCTGAAGATCTTTGTGATGGTTGAGTGGCCACTTGAGGGGTAAGGCGACCTCTGCCATCCCTCAAGTGTGACCTTCAAGTGTGACCCTCAAGTGTGACCCTAAAGTGTGACCCTCAAGTGTGACCTTCAAGTGTGACCCTTAAAAATTTAACCACAACAATAATTATCTTAAAAAATAATAATACAAAATTAATTAGCTAAAAATAACTATAATTAATTATGGAAAAATAATCATACAATAATTAATTATCTAAAATATAATAAAAATATGAATTACCTAAAAGTAATTACCCCAAAAAATTAATTACTCCCTTAAAAATTAATTACTCCCTTAAAAATTAATTACTCCTTAAAATTAATTACTCCCTTAAAAATTAAATACTCCCTTAAAAATTAATTACTCCCTTAAAAATTAATTATAAGACAGAAACACCTCCCACCACCTCCCACTCCACCATTACCCACAATTATATAAGTTACTCCACGGTGGGAAAAATGAGCCGAGCGTGGGAAAATTTCGACCACCGTGGGAAAAAAAATATATATTCGTCTGGGAGAGTTACGGAAACTTATGTGGGAAAAATTTATATTGAAGCAGAGTTTGAGGGACGAGAGAGAGAAAAGAGAGAGAGAGAGAGAGAGAGAGAGAGATAATCAACATATAATAAACTCACCTGTCCACCAAAAGGCTTCACTAATTAATGACTAAATATAATAACGTTCTCAACTCTTATTTAAACAACTTTTATAATGGTTTAGTAAAGTGGTGTTGTGGTTGTGGTAGTTGTGGTTGTTGTGGTTGTTGTGATGGTGGTGGTTGAGGTTGTTGTTGACATCAATATTTTACGTAAAAAAAAATTACACTGTTTAATTTCTGGTTAAGGATGAGGTATAAGGAGTGGTGTAAGGAGTGGTGTAAGGGTGGTGTAAGGATGAGGTATAAGGGTGGTGTAAGGAGTGGTGTAAGGGTGGTGTAAGGATGAGGTGTAAGGTGGTGTAAGGGTGGTGTAAGGGTGGTAAGGGTGGAATGAGGTAAGGGTATAAGGAGTGGTGTAAGGAGTGGTATAAGGGTGGCGGGAGTGGTGTAAGGTGGTGGATGAGGTGTAAGGGTGGTGTAAGGGTGGTGTAAGGAGTGGTATAAGGGTGGTGTAAGGGTGGTATAAGGAGTGGTGTAAGGAGTGGTATAAGGGTGGTAAAGGATGAGGTGTAAGGGTGGTGTAAGGGTGGTATAAGGAGTGGTGTAAGGAGTGGTATAAGGATGAGGTGTAAGGGTGGTGTAAGGGTGGTGTAAGGATCCAATAGGTAGGGTAGAGTCCTTTGAGGCGTGAAGAATATTTTTGTGAGTCAAGATGAGTGAGAAAGAATTTGGGAGGGGGGTCCAGGCGTGTGGGAAAAGGGTGTGATGGGCGTTTATAGGCTGTACGTACACACACACACACATACACACACATACACATACCAAATGCATACATATATACGTACAGAGAGAGAGAGAGAGAGAGAGAGAGAGAGAGAGAGAGAGACTATTAAAGCAACACAACAAAACACTCGCTCCTCCTGACGATCAGATTATCAAAAATATTTATTTTACTTTGGCGACGAATGATGGCTGGAATGATGGTAGGAATAATGGGAATGAGGGCTGGAATGATGGTAGGAATAATGGGAATGATGGCTGGAATGATGGTAGGAATAATGGGAATAATGGCTGGAATGATGGTAGGAGTAATAGAATGATGGCTGGAATGATGGTAGAATTAAACAGGAATTATGATAGGAATGGTTGGAATGATGACAGGAATGAAGGCAGGAATGGTTGGAATGGTGGCAGGAATAATAACAGGGATGATAACAGGAATGAAGGCAGGAATGGTGGAAAGAATGGAGACAGGAATGGTTGGAATGATGTCATTAATGAAGACAAGAATGAAGGCAGGAATGATAACAGGAATGATGGCAGGAATGATAACAGGAACGATGGCAGGAATGATAACAGGAATGAAGGCAGGAATCACGGCAGGAATGATAACAGGAATGATGGCAGGAATGATAACAGGAATGAAGGCAGAAATCACGGCAGGAATGATAACAGGAATGATGGCGGGAATGTTGGTAGAACAAACCAATTAAATGCATGTATCTTAATTGGTGATGCCTAGTGTGTGTGTGACGACTCTTTCTGCCTGTCTCTATCTGACGGCCTCTCTCTCTCTCTGTCTCTATCTGTCAGCCTCTCTCTCTCTCTGTCTCTATCTGTCAGCCTCTCTCTCTCTGTCTATCTGTCGGCCTCTCTCTCTCTCTCTGTCTCTATCTGTCAGCCTCTCTCTCTCTCTCTCTCTGTCTCTATCTGTCAGCCTCTCTCTCTCTCTCTGTCTCTATCTGTCAGCCTCTCTCTCTCTGTTCTATTTGTCGGCCTCTCTCTCTCTCTGTCTCTATCTGTCAGCCCTCTCTCTCTCTCTGTCTCTATCTGTCAGCCTCTCTGTCTCTATCTGTCGCCTCTCTCTCTCTTCCATCTGTCAGCCTCTCTCTCTCTTCTATCTGTCGGCCTCTCTCTCTCTCTGTCTCTCTATCTGTCAGCCTCTCTCTCTCTCTGTCTCTATCTGTCAGCCTCTCTCTCTCCTCTGTCTCTATCTGTCAGCCTCTCTCTCTCTCTCTGTCTCTCTATCTGTCGGCCTCTCTCTCTCTCTGTCTCTATCTGTCAGCCTCTCTCTCTCTCTGTCTCTATCTGTCAGCCTCTCTCTCTGTCTCTATCTGTCGCCTCTCTCTCTCTGTTCCTATCTGTCAGCCTCTCTCTCTCTCTGCTCCTATCTGTCAGCCTCTCTCTCTCTGTCTCTATCTGTCAGCCCTCTCTCTGTCTCTATCTGTCAGCCTCTCTCTCTTCTCACCCCTCTCTCTCTCCTCACCGCCACTTTTACCAATTATAAACACAATATTCAGCCATGTGGACACCCTGATCTCCCTGCTCTCCTCCCTCTCTCCCTCTCCCTCCTCCCCTGCTCCCTCCCTCTCTCTCCCCTGCCCTCCCTCTCTCTCCCCTGCCTCCCTCCCTCTCTCTCCCCTGCTCCCTCTCTCTCCCCCTCCCCTCCCCTCTCTCCTGCCTCCCTCCCCTCTCTCTCTCTCCCTGCCTCCCCTCCCTCTCTCCCCTGCCCTCCTCCCTCTCTCTCTCTCCCTGCCTCCCTCCCTCTCTCTCTCTCTCCCCTTCCCTCCCCTCCCTCTCTCTCCCCTGCCTCCCTCCCTCTCTCTCCTTCCTCCCTCCTCCTCTTTCCTCCCTCCTTCATCACTCCTTCTTTCCTTCTCTTCTCTTCCTCTCTTCCCTTCCTCATCCTGCTTCTTCTCCCATCCTCCTCCTTTCTCCTCCTCCTCCTCCTCCCTCCTCTTCCTCTCCTCCTTCACCAATCACCACAACACTCGTCATGTTAAGTCTTTAGGACCTGGGATAAAGTTACTTTTATTCTTCAAACGTAATAAAGCAACTGTGTGTGTGTGTGTGTGTGTGTGTGTGTGTATGTGTGTGTGTGTGTGTGTGTGTGTGTTGCGGGCAGAGACAGAAAAAACAGACAGACAAAGACAAAACAGAGAGAGAGAGGTTGTTAACTTTACCTGTATGGCGAAGTAATTAAGGTGAGACAATTTCAGGTGTTACTTTACTAATTGGTGAGGGGGAGAGGATGTGTGTGTGTGTGTGTGTGTGTGTGTGTACCTTATTATAAACATACACACAGACACTCTCACACTCACTCACAGTATACACAAACAAACAAACAAATAAACACATAAAGTAACACCTTCTCTCTCTCTCTCTCTCTCTCTCTTCTCTCTCTCTTCTCTCTCTCTCCCAAATTTAACACGTCTCTGACCATCGATCGATATGAGCACTACTGTAGGTGATAAGGACGGACGGACGGACGGACGCCAGAAGAGAAGACAGACACAACAGATAGATAGATTGATAGATAGACCGGAAGAACGACCAAATGCTGGAAATAGATCAGGAAATTGACTGTTTGAGAGAGAGAATTATCCCTATACAAACTCAATCTATTTTTATCCTCAACAATAAAATAACAACAATATTAATCTACATACGAGAGATGACATAAAAAAAATCGTTGTAGGTCCTGGAGAAAAAAAAAGTGTCACTTGGTCTCTAGCGGATGTGAAGGAAGGTTTGTTATTTTGACACGAGCTTATGAATGTGACTCTACATGTTGACTACCCGCCCGTGCTTGTAGCCTAGGGGAGGGGCAGGGGGAAGGGGGGTAAGGGGGAAAGGGGGGGGGAGATAGAAGGTGTGAGAAGGGAGGTAAAGATAATAGGCACAAATTGAGAGAAATTAGAAGAGAATTAGAAGAGAGAAAATTATAAAAACATGAATGAGATTTTTTTTTTTTTTGCAAGTACGAGTTTTGGGATTAACTTTGACAGACAGACAGACAGATAGATAGACAGACAGACAGACAGATAGATAGATAGATAGTCATGTGGGAGGGAGAGGCCGAGTGTAAGCTTTCTCAATCTTATGATCTATTGTTTATTGTGCTAAATCCGCGCCTCCCTCTCTCCCTTCTTTACTCTCCCTCTCACTCCCTCACTGTCTGCCTCTCCCTTCCTTACTTTATCTCTCTTCCTCCCTTCCTCTCCCTCTCTCTCTCCCTTCCTTACTCTCCCTCTCACTCCCTCACTTTCTGCCTCTCCCTTTCTCTCCCTTCCCACTCCCCTCCCTTCCCTTCCCTCACACAAAACAACACGCCAGGGATCGAACCAATGACCTCCAAAACAAATCCACGTTCCTTCCCACCACACCACCGCCTCGATCCTTTGTTTATACACACACACACACACCCTCAGCCGACGTCTCTCTGTTGCTCACACACACACACACACACACTCACACACACACACACACACACACACACACACACACTCACACACACACACACACACCCTCAGCGATTCTGTTGCTCTCACACACACACACACACACACACACACACACACACACACACACACACACACACACACACACACACACACACATCACCACCCCCACCTTAGCCTGGTGATGAAGTAATACAATAATCTCCTTAACTTCCAATATTTATCAACACTCAAAGCTGCCAACAACTTAATTACAGGTTAGAGGTAACGAGAGTAATGAGGGGAGGCCATTAGAGGTCTTGCGTCATTAAGCTGGAGGTCATGACTGGCTGTGTCCTGTCGTGTGTGGATTACCTGGATTAGTTAGATAACCTGGTGATTAATCTGGTCAGTTTATAGCACCTTGAAATGGATCAACCTAATTCTCACCTAACCTAACCTAACGAAACCTAACCTAACTTAACCTTATCTATCCATCTATCTATCTATCTATCTATCTATCTATCTATCTATCTATCCATCAGCAGGAGTGTGTCAACGCATGAATGTCTGTCTGAACCAACCATACTTGAGGCTCTTACTTAGACTCAAGACTCGGAACGTGGACCAACACACTATTGTTGAGTGTGTGTTGATCTGGGGCCACACACACACACACGCACACACACACACACATACACACACACACACACACATACACACATACATACATACATACATACATACATACATCCTAATAATATTCCCGAACGTTAAACTGGAGATAACTTGTGAAGGAAAACTTGTGTAATGTAGTGTTCTATATTGAGTCTTCGAGAGAGAGAGAGAGAGAGAGAGAGAGAGAGAGAGAGAGAGAGTAAATGAAATAAGGATTTTTTCGTCCTTAGATTAAATAACTTCCACTATATTATTATTATTATTATTATTATTATTATTATTCTGTACTTTTATCCTTAACAATCGATATAATTACTAAAATATAAATAATAATGACTACTCATCATCACCATCATCATCACCATCAGTCATCACCATCAGTCATCACCGTCATCAGTCATCATCACCGTCATCAGTCATCACCACCATCATCACCATCATCACCGTCATCACCACCATCATCACCACCGTCATCACCACCGTCACCACCACACAGTAAACACCAGCATCAAGGGACTTTATAAACAGCGTGTACGACTCACCTCAGCAGCTATATAAGCCGGTATAACAGAGAGTAACAGCTGCTCCTGTTGTTCTCTCTCACACTCCAGCTTCACTCTAGCTTCTATCACCTCCCTGGTAGAGCTGCGGGCGTGTTTGTGGGCGTGGGCGGCCTCCCAATCCAGCCACCAACCTAGAGTATGAGCGGCTACCATCATCAGCGTGTAACCCAAAACCTGGAAGTTTATGACATTGTATGATAGTTATTTGGGTGCGTACGGTATGGTAGTAGTAGTAGTAGTAGTAGTAGTAGTAGTAGTGGTAGTAGTAGTAGTTGTAGTAGTGGTAGTGTACGACAAGAGATAAGTGTGTTATTTTTAGGGTCATTGTACGATAGTTATTTGGGTGCGTACGGTATGGTGATGGTAGTAGTAGTGGTGGTGGTAGTAGTAGTAGTAGTAGTAGTAGTAGTAGTAGTAGTAGTAGTAGGAACAACATAAACTAGTCATTTTAACAATAATCAATCAATATAACGCACATAATCACTCCTCCATATACCGGAATAATGTTGATAAAGTCACTAGATGGTTATATAGTTTGGGTGTGACCATAGCGTCTCCCACTACCGAGAGTTAAGGTCATGACGTCACCAACACGAGTTAAGGTCATGACGTCACCAACACGAGTTAAGGTCATGACGTCACCAACACGAGTTAAGGTCATGACGTCACCAACACGACTCCTCCTGGGGGCGGCGCCGTTCAACTCTCCCAGAAATTTTAAAATAAAATAAATACCTTGAAAGGTTTTTATTTATTTGTACTTTATGTTTTATTAACTTATATTATATGCGTTTAAATTTTGATGATGTTTTATATATTCTCGGTAAATACCTTATTTTTAAATGAATAAATAAAGTTGAGGGTTGGGCGCGTTTGGTTGATTCATGATTTATAAAGATGAAGTTTTTCTAATCCAGTTTGTCGTTGCTATTTAATAATTTACATATTTTTCTAGAATACATTACACACTAGATAACATTTTACATTTTTCATGAATATTGAATGATTATTTACATTCCAGTAATACGTCACTGAATATATATTTTGTTCATTTATCGCTGCTGTAGTGTAACAACCTAACAGTTCTACTTCAAATTAAAGTTTCTAAATTTAAAGATAAATAAACAGGGGGAATTAATGTTTAAGTATATAGTATTAATGTAATTTATTTTTTTAGATCATTAAGGGAGTCTCTCGTCCCTCTGAGCCCGCCAAAATTTTACTGTTTAGTGTTATATAAAATACCACGAACAAATCCGCTAAAATGTTTGTTTATTTGATCCATTGAAAAACATAAAAGCTTCTTAGGGCTGTTAGACTTTTAGTTCGAACTATTAAGGTTAATATTGTATATATTTATAAATGATTCATTAATACTAAGAATACAGCCGAAAAAATATTAATACGTACTCCTGAACTTCTCAAAATTTTATGGTTCAACTTTAATGATTAGTTTTTCTGGCAGTATGTAAAAAATCACATAACATATAAATATAAAACAGAAACATCACTATTTGGTTTAATAAAAATCTAAAAAAAACCTTGACATAAAAAAATAATAATGACAGATCTCGTTCGTAGTTTTAATCCAACAATAGTCAGCTGGCACCGAGCCTCAGCCATGAAGAAGAACATAAGTTTTTCCTTCAAATTTTCTTAATATTCAGTGATTCTCAGTGATTTACGACCTGCAGCTGAATGACAAGACGAAACGTAAGGTAAAATATATACTCACGTTACCTTAAAATACACCAAAAACATAATAGTGATAAAAAAAAATTGAATATGTGATTGACGTAAGATAACCATTGAAAAACTATTTTGATTAATATTGAGTTATTTTAAGGCGTATATTACCAAACTACAGATGATTTATATTACTTTAATACTTAGGTTTATTGTGATTTATATAAGTAGGATAAAGTTATAATTTATGATAAGTAAATATTAAGCGGGAACTCCAACCATCCGAGACCCGGAATTACCCAATAAACTGACTTTTTCTCTATTTTTTCTTAATTTATGATATTTAAACTAATTAAACCTCTTAAGTAGTGATGTTGAGTTAATTTAGGATGTTTTTATAAGTATTACGTGGCTGTAGTGACGACAGGTTGGATTTTAATAAGGAAATATAGACAAATTAAATCATCCGAGACTAGGAATTAGTAGTTACGTGTTATGACTAGTAAGTTATTTTTACTAGACAGAAAGACAGACACAGACAGACACAGACACACACAGACAGACACAGACACACACAGACACACAGACACATCACAGAGACACACAGACACATCACAGAGACACACAGACACACACACACACACACACACACACAATTCTATACTCCAAGTGAACTAAATAAATACTATAGTTTTATATATGAGGTAAAATAGTTACTCATTTTATATTTATATTTCTGAAAATTATATAAATTTCAAGAACTGGCAACACTTCCGTACAGCTGTTATGTATGTATGTATGACTGTATATATGACTGTATATATGACTGTATGTATGTATGTATGTATGACTGTATGTATGTATGTATGTATGTATGTTAAACTAGCGCACTCAAGGGATTAAAGTCATCACATCTCCAACTTCAGGTCATCCCTCCCCTCCCTCCCCCTCCTTCACCCCTCCTCCCTCCCTCCTTCCCCCTCCCCCCCTCCCACCCCCCCTCCTTCACCCTCACCTCCCCTCCTCCCCTCCCCTCCCTCTCCACCAAACACTCAAGGAAGGAAAATAAAATAAATTAAAAGACACCAATTAAAAGTTTGAATGAGGTAAAAGTTGTAAAGGAATCTCTGGTCTTCTTAACTGAGCCATCAATCTCAACTTTGTGTCCACCCGCACTCTTGTTGGCTCTTACTGTTGGCTCTTACTGTTGGCTCTTACTGTTGGCTCTTACTGTTAGCCTTACCGTTGCTGACTCTCACTCTCACTCTCACTCACTCTCAGCTCTCTCTCAAAACCCAGCTCTCTCACTCCCTCTCAGCTCCTCTCAACCTCTCAGCCTCTCTCACTCCCCAGTCTCTCAGCTCAACTCTCCAGCCTCTCAGCTCACTCCTCCAGTCTCAGCAGTCTCAGCCTCACTCTCAGCCTCACTCACTCTCACTCTCACTCACTCCCAGTCTCAGCTCTCACTCCACTCTCAGCTCTCACTCAACTCCCAGTCTCAGCTCTCACTCCACTCTCAGCTCTCACTCAACTCCCAGTCTCAGCTCTCACTCACTCTCAGCTCTCACTCACTCTCAGCTCTCACTCACTCTCAGCTCTCACTCTCAAGTTAGTTAGAGACGTCCTCACATCACCAGTTCGGAGGCAAATATAACGTAGGGACCTCTCATAGTCTCCCCTTATAAAGCCCAACAGAAAACGGAACAAACTCAATCGACCAATCAGCGACGCGAAATACCATGAAACGTCACAGGATGCTAGCCAATGAGAGCGTCCTGGGGGGAACAAATCAAAGGCGTTGATTGGTTGAGAGCGGGTGTATGGATCTATTCAGCCAATCAATGAACTCGATAATGTCAACAATGGCACGTGAAGGAAGTAATGAATAGGAATGTGGTGAAAACAGCGACAAATGAATGAACTGAGAGAGAGACAGACAGAGACAGAGACAGGGAGATAGACAGACAGAGAGACAGGCAGAGAGACAGACAGAGAGACAGGCAGAGAGGGTTTGATTAAGTTGTTACAGTCATTCATATCCTGACGTGAGTGTAGCCAGTCTTCTTGATGTGTACTGGCGTATCTCTCTCTCTCTCTCTCTCTCTCTCTCTCTCTCTCTCTTAACCTCATCTCAATCCTCTTTTAGTAAGATAATTCGGGGTCAAGTGATTAGACCTGACTATGAACCACCACACCAACCACCACAATCACAACAACCACAATCTTCACTTAACAAGGAGCACACGCCACTATGAGACTCTCTCAACCCAAAGTGGCATCTATAATGATAACTGGCACTTGGCACCTAATGGCACTGTGGGGGGATGGCACTGTAGGGGAGAGATGGCACTGTGGGGGGAGAGATGGCACTGTGGGGGGAGATGGCACTGTGGGGGGATGGCACTGTAGGGGAGAGATGGCACTGTGTGGGGGGGTAGAGGTCTAAGCTGTCAAGGAAGAATGTTGACCTTTGACCTGTGTGTATAGTCTATGTTGGTTGACCTCTGTGTTACATTGGACATACATACATACATACATACATACATACATACATACTATATATCCAAATTATTTATCCCGAATATACACACAGACTCTACAGTTTGTATGGTAATTTTATACACACAAGACCACTGTTTATATATACACATTATATAAACAGAGTCACAGCCGCTGGTCAATTCTCTATCCATTTATTCTCAAGTAAATATCTCACCATTTTCTCTTTCTCTGTCCTGTTATTTTACTCTTTATTTCCTATTTCCTATTTCTCTTGTTTCCCCTGAAGGCTTTTCTATCCTATTTTTTTTTCCACGTCAATTTTCCCTTTGAATTTTTGCTTTTTTACTCGCCAATTTTCCCGCCACTTTTCCCTTATTTTTTGTTCTTTTACTCATCAGTTTTCCCGCCAATTTTATCCTCCAATTTTCCCCGCCAAATTTTCCCGCCAATATTTTCCCACCCAAATTTCTCCAACTTTTCGTCTTGTTGTTGGGTACACTTTGGCTTCCAGTACCCTTGAGAGTACGAATTACCTCAGATAATCCTCAGTGGTACAGGGATCCTTACAATAACGGCGATAAGTTTCAGTCGGATGGGGTCCCTTACAGTAACCGTGGGGGGGACCTAACCTAACCCTCTCCCCTCCAAGTAACGTAAGGGGTGTCTAATCTTCAGGTAAACCCCCATAACACAATCATCCTCACCTGTACAGCCGACCAGCTCCTTGTAGACCAGAATGCAATGGGCGCAAGAGGCAGGGAAGTCGTCACCACAGCTAAGATACGGGCGTGTAGGCGTGGTAGAGGGACGGCGGTGTGGGTGGCCAAGATGAGGAGGAAGGTTGGTGGGGTGAGATGGGCGGGCATGGGCGGTGGGTGGAGGTAGCCGACGCCCATTATCACGCCCACGGTGAGGAGCCAGTATGTTGCCCCCAGTATGGTAGAGATGGTCTCAAAGTGTGTGCTGAATACCTGTAGGAGATAGTAGTAGTAGTAGTAGTAGTAATAATAATAATACACTATTGCATATAATTACCCCCACCACCACAACAACCACCACCACAACAACAACCACCACCACAACAACAACAACGACGACAAGACCCAGAGAGTGATAAAGGGGGTCGTTTCTCCCCTCGTGTGGTCGTCCTGTTCAAACTTTACCTGATGGAACGACTTTGGCGCCTCGTTGGGGGGGATTACTTCGCCCTCCCCCCTCCACCCCCCTCCCCTCCTGGCTCCTCCCCCTCCCCCTCCCCTAATACATCACCCACACAAATAATGATTAATGTTTGTTTTAGAGAATGAAGTTGAGGTGATGATGATGATGATAATAACAATGATAATAATAATAATAATAATAATAATATCACCACCACCACCACACTATCACCACCACCACACTATCACCACCACCACACTATCACCACCACCACACTATCACCACCACCACACTATCACCACCACCTCAATATACACGTACCTTTACCAGTTAAACACCTGACTGACTCACACCTTATTAATACACCTGTAATTAATACCCTTCTGTATAGCCTTTGTGGGGTGTGTGTATATGTTTGAGTGTGTGTATGTTTGAGTGTGTGTATGTTTGAGTGTGTGTATGTTTGAGTGTGTGTATGTTTGTATGTCTGTGTGTGTCTGTAAGTCTATGTATGTTTGGTTTTTTGTATGTATGTATATTTGTATGTATGTATGTATATTTTATGTATGTATGTATGTCTGTGTGGGCTACATTAGATTAGGTTAGGTTAGATTAAGTTATGATAAGTTAGGTTATGTTAAATTAAGCTTGGTTAGATTAGGTTAAGTTAGGTTAGATTAAGTTTGGTTGGGTTAGGTTAGGTTGGGTTAGGTTAGGTTGGGTTAGGTTAGGTTAGATTAGGTTTGGTTGGGTTAGGTTAGGTTAGGTTGGGTTAGGTTTGGTTAGGTTAGGTTAGGTTGGGTTAGGTTAGGTTAGGTTAGGTTTTATATATATATTTATATCAATATCACGACACAAGAGACAGGTCAGTATTGGGAGCCTCGAGATACGACATAACACCACCTCCACAGCGACACCCCCGTGAGGCTGTCAACTGATGGAACGACTCCTGCTGGTCGTTCACGGGGATTCACCTGTCTCTCTAACTTTCTCACGACCCCCTGCACCCTTCGTACGACCTTCCTATCTCTTCCATGACCTTCCGACCTCACCTAGGAACCCCCCAAGCCCCTTCCACGACCCCCCAAACCCCTCCTACGACCTTCTACGACCCCCTACCTTCCCCACGACCTTCCCACTCTCCTCTTTAAGCCTTCACATCCGCCCCACCTTCCTCCCCAACCTCTCCCCCCCACCACCCTCTCTCTCTCTCTGTGTACGTGAGAGAGAAAGAGAGAGGGAGAATCACTTGTCGCCTGGGGTCTTACTCTCTTCTCCTCCCACTCTCCCCTCCCACTCACCTCTTATCTACTCTCCCTTCCCTCACCTCTCCCTTCCCTCACCTCTCCCTTCCCTCACCTCTCACATTCAACGTAATCTCTTCACCTAAAAATTCCCACCTCTCAACTGCTCTCCCTGTGTGTGTGTGTGTGTGTGTGTGAGAGAGAGAGAGAGAGAGAGAGAGAGAGAGAGAGAGAGAGATAAAGCCAACTCACACTAATCGCTCAGCCTCGTTCCCTCTCACACACTCCGACTTGAGGCCCTCAGGTCAAGTTGAGTCACGACCTGTAGGAGGAGGACCTTGTTGACTCTCCTGAGACCCTGGACGTGTGTAAGTGCTTCAGGAACACGAGGTCAGGTCACAGGCAGATGTTATCCAGATGTCAGGAGATGTTATACAGGTGTCAACTGTTGTTACCCAGGTGTCAGGAGAGGCAGGTGTTATCCAGATGTCAGGAGATGTTATGCAGGTGTCAGCTGTTGTTACCCAGGTGTCAGGAGGTGTTACCCAAGTGTCAGGAGAGGCAGGTGTTATCCAGAGCGTCAGGGAGATGGCATGCAGGTGTCAGCTGTTGTTACCCAGGTGTCAGGAGGTGTTGTTACCCAGGTGTCAGGAGAGGCAGGTGTTATCCAGATGTCAGGAGATGTTATGCAGGTGTCAGCTGTTGTTACCCAGGTGTCAGGAGGTGTTACCCAAGTGTCAGGAGAGGCAGGTGTCAGTAAGTGTTAGGAGAGGCTTCACTAGAGCGGATATTAAGTGTCAGGAGACCGTGTTAAACCTTGGCTGGCCGAGTTTATTGACTCTGAACCGTGTTTAAGGACTTGGGGCTATTTTAAGGAATTTTAGGGATATTAAAGAGTTTTTTAGGGAATTTGTAGGGGTAAAGGATTTTTGGGGGGATATAAAGGTTATTTTAATTTTTTTTTAGGGATTTTAATATTTTTTTGATATTTTTAGGGAGTTTGAGATTTTTTAGGATTTTTTAAGTGTTTTAGTATGTATGTATGTATGTATGTATGTATGTATGTATTATACCTCTGTCTCTCACTCACAAACAAACAAACAAGCAGACAGAATCACCCCTACTTAAGCAACAAAAAACAAACACCAGAATTACGTAACTTTCCTCCATACACACACACACACACATACACACACACACACACACACACACACACACACACACACACACACACACACATTGATATTTTCGATAGCTTAAAATTCTGTCCTCGATATTCGCCAGAGGATTTTATTCAGCTTAAATAAATTCTTCATCATTTAGTTGATCATCACAGCAATAACCAGAATAACAATCACTGCAATAACCATAACACCAATAATAACAACCACAAGAATAACCCCAAATAACAACTACAACCATATTAACCTCTACGATACGTCACATTCACAAGAAGTAATGAATAAGAAAGTTGTAAAATCGATGGTGTTATTTATGATTGATGTGTGTGTGTGTGTGTGTGTGTGTGTACGAATGAATGGGTAGTAATACGTTCATAAATATGTTAATGTGTGTTTTGGGACGGAGGAGGAGGAGGAGGAGGGGGGAAGAAGGGGGAAGAGGAGGAGGAGGTACTAAAGGGGAGGGGGAAGAGAAGGGGGAAGAGAAGGGGAGAGAGACGGGGTTTCTTTCCCTAATTTAGTCCAAAACAGCATCTTGTGTTGGCCAGACCCTGCTGCCATGTGTGACCAGGTTGATGATCTGACTTTCTGCCTTATTTTGGGGTCTCAGTGTTTCCTGACAACAACCCACAACTGCTTATGTGTTTCTCACTATTGATCTTTTTTGGTATTTATGGTTCATTATTATTATTATTATTATTATTATTATTTTCACCAGCAGGCCCTGATGTGGGTCACTGACTTGTGCCCTGGTGAGCTAATCCCGGGTCACTGACTTGTGCCCTGGTGAGTTAATCCCGGGTCACTGACTTGTGCCCTGGTGAGTTAATCCCGGGTCACTGACTTGTGCCCTGGTGAGTTAATCCCGGGTGACTTGTGCCCTGGTGAGTTAATCCTGCCCTGGTAGTTAATCCCGGGTCACTGGTCACTGACTGCCCTGGTGAGTTAATCCCGTGAAAGGGAAAAAATGTACTTCTGCCTGAATGTCGAGAAATCAATATTGGGTCTGAGAAAGTAGAAATTCCTAAGGATATTGTAGTGAGGATGTTGTGGGGGAGGGGCTTTGTGGGGGAGGGAGGTTGTGGGGGGAGGAGGCTTGTGGGGGAGGTTGTGGGGAGGGTTTGTGGGGAGGGGTTTTAGCTAACTTCCGGGTTGTGTTCCGGTGTGGTGCTTCTGTTCCAGGTTGTATACACGCTCTGGTGCTTGTCCGGGAAGGTGGGAGGGAGGGAGAGTGAGGAGGGAGGGGAGGGAGTGAGGGAGGGAGGGAGGGAGGGAGGAGGGAGGTGAGGAGGAGGGAGGGGAGGGAGTGGGGAGGAGGGAGAGAGAGGGAGAGAGAGAGAGGAGGGAGGGAGAGAGAGGGGAGAGAGGAGGAGGGAGGAGAGGAGGGAGGGGAGGAGGGAGAGGAGGGAGGGAGGGAGAGGAGAGGGGGGAGGAGGGAGGGAGGAGGGGATGTGGGGTGGAGGGTGGGGTGGAGGGAGGTGTAGTAGAGAGAGCCTGTCTCTCTCTCTCTCTTACACGTGTGGGTTAGGTTAGTGGCAGCTGTCTGTCTGTCTGTCTGTCTGTCTGTCTGTCAATGTCATTCCTCTAAGTGTATCTATCTATCTATCTATCACACACACACACACACACACACACACACACACACACACACACACACACACACACACACACACACACACACACACACACACACACACACACACACACACACACACACACACACACACACACACACACAGAACGTCATCGTCAAAACCTAACGAGATAGATAGTGAGGAGGAGGAGGAGGAGGAGGAGGAGGAGGAGCTGGGAGGTAGGAGGAGGAGGAGCTGGAGGAGGAGGAGGAGGAGGAGGTGGAGGAGGAGGAGGAGGAGGAGGAGGTGCTGGAGGAGGAGGAGGAGTGGAGGAGGAGGCTGGAGGTAGGAGATGCTGGAGGTAGGAGGAGGTGGTAGGAGGTGGTGGTGGGAGTGGTAAGGGTCACTAGAGAGAGCCCTAGAAAAGATATTGGTTCGAGGTGATCTTGTCGGCTGCTTTAGTGGCCAATGTCTTTGTGAGTAATTGGTTATTGGCCTCTGTGTGTGATGGTGGTTGTTATGGTCTTGTTAAGGGGGTGGTTGTTAGGGGTGTGGTTGTTAAGGGATGGTTGTTAGGGGGTGTGGTTGTTAGGGGGGTGGTTGTTAGGTTGTGTGGGTTGGTTGGGGGTGGTTGTTAGGGGGTTGTTAAGGGGTGGTTGTTATTGTTGGGGGGTGGTTGTTGTTAGGGGTGTGTGTTGTTGTTAGGTGTGGTTGTTATGGGGTGGTTGTGGTTGGTTGTTAGGGTGTGGTGGTTGTTAGGGGTGTGTTAAGGGCTGGTTGTTAAGGGTGGTGGTTGTTAGGGGTGTGGTTGTTAAGGGGTGTTTGTTAGGGGTGTGGTTGTTAGGGGTGGTTGTTAGGGTGGGTTGTTAGGGGGTGGTTGTTAAGGGGTGTGGTTGTTAAGGGTGGTGGTGGATGGTTTTGCAATTTCAAATCAACTCCCTTAGAAGACTGATTTTGTGTGTGTGTGTGTGTGTGTGTGTGTGTGTGTGTGTGTGTGCGCCTTCCTATCACACACACACACACAAACCTCTCTCTATCAATCAAACAAACACAGCCAACAGACAAACAAACGGACACAGTTAACCTCCTACTGGTGCGGGGGGTAATAAAACACAACGTTTGTTTGTTTGTTTACGTCTGAGCCCCAAGAACTGTTATGTAGGTCTCTCTGATACCTGAACCCCGGACCTGAACCCCTGACCTGAACCCCGGACCTGAACCCCTGACCTGAACCCTGACCTGAACCCCGGACCTGAACCCCGGATCTGAACCCCGGACCTGAATCCCGAACTGAACCCCGACCTGAACCCCGGACCTGAACCCCGATCTGAACCCCTGACCTGAATCCTGAACCGAACCCCTGACCTGAACCTGACCTGAACCTGACCCGAACCCTGGACCTGAACCCCTGACCTGAATCCCGTGACCTGTACCTGGCTCCTACCTGATAAACCTGTACCCTCACCTAACTTAACCTAATCTAACTTAACCTAACCTAACCTAATCTAACCTAATCCATCTTAATTTAACCTAACCTAACCTAATCTAACCTTATTTAATGAAACTTAATCTAATCTAATTTGGGGCAACCTGTACCTAACCTAGGAGAGAGAGAGAGAGAGATCAGTAACGTAAGACTGAAATACGATCCCTTGGGAGTGGAAGTGGAGGAGGAGGGAGGGAGGGAAGGTGTTGGTAAAGGGGGGGAGGGATGAAAGGAGAAATAAGGAGGGAAAGAGGAAGGGAGAGAAGTGTTCACAATATTGGTCCAAAATTCCTTCCCACTCGTTAATTTATTTTGTGTGTGTGTGTGTGTGTGTGTGTGTGTGTGTGTGTGTGTGTGTCGGTTTGTCCATTTAAGTTAATCTTTAATCCTTGCAAGTTAATCCACCTAAGTTAATCCTACATCCATGTAAGATTAATCCACATAAGTTAATCCAATAAGTTAATCCAATAAGTTAATCCAATAAGTTAATCCAATAAGTTAATCCTATAAGTTAATCCAATAAGTTAATCCAATAAGTTAATCCAATAAGTTAATCCAATAAGTTAATCCAATAAGTTAATCCTATAAGTTAGTCCAATAAGTTAATCCAATAAGTTAATCCTATAAGTTAATCCTATAAGTTAATCCAAGTTAATCCTATATTAATCCAATAAGTTAATCCTATGTTAATCCCATAAGTTAATCCCAAGTTAATCCAATAAGTTAATCCTATAAGTTAATCCTATGTTAATCAATAAGTTAATCCAATAAGTTAATCCTATAAGTAATCGTATAAGTAACAGGTGATAAGTGCAACTAATTATCTGCCACGCCCACGACCACTGGAGCGCCATAACACCCGAAGATGACAGCAGACACTGGCCACTCATCACTCTGTCAAAGAAAACGGGAACAGGGTCATTATGTCTCATAGAAAACGGGAATACGGTCATTATGTCTCATGGAAATGGGAATACGGTCATTATGTCTCATAGAAATGGGAATATCTTTATAATGGCTCATAGAAATGGAATACGGTCATATGGGTATAGAAAACGGGAATACAGTCATTATGTCTCATAGGAAAATGGGAATACGGTCATTATGGGTAATAGAAAAACGGAATACGGTCATTATGTCTCATAGAAAATGGGAATACGGTCATTATGGGTAATAGAAACGGAATACAGTCATTATGTCTCATAGAAAATGGGAATACGGTCATTATGGGTAATAGAAAACGGGAATACAGTCATTATGTCTCATAGAAAATGGGAATACGGTCATTATGGGTAATAGAAAACGGAATACGGTCATTATGGGTCATAGAAATGGGAATACGTCATTATAGGTAATAGAAACGGAATACGGTCATTATGGGTAATAGAAAACGGGAACACAGTCATTATGGGTAATAGAAAACGGGAACACGGTCATTATGGGTAATAGAAAATGGGAACACGGTCATTGGGTAATAGAAACGGAATACAGTCATTATGGGTAATAGAAAACGGGAACACGGTCATTATGGGTAATAGAAAATGGGAACACGGTCATTATGGGTAATAGAAAACGGGAACACGCATAGGGTAAGAAACAAAAGGTCATTATGGGTAATAGAAAACGGGAACACGGTCATTATGAGGTAATAGAAAACGGAATACGGTCATTATGGGTAATAGAAAACGGGAATACACATGTGTCTCATAGAAAACGGGAACACGGTCATTATGGGTAATAGAAAACGGAATACGGTCATTATGGGTATAGAAAACGGAATACGGTCATTATGGGTAATAGAAAACGGAATACGGTCATTATGTCTCATAGAAAATGGGAATACGGTCATTATAGGTAATAGAAACGGGAATACGGTCATTATGGGTAAGAAAACGGAATACGGTAATTATGGGTAATAGAAAACGGGAATACGGTCATTATGTCTCATAGAAAACGGGAATACGGTCATTATGGGTAATAGAAAACGGGAACAGGGTCATTATGTCTCATAGAAAACGGGAATATCTTTATAATGGCTCATAGAAAAACGGGAATATCTTTATAATGGCTCATAGAAAATGGGAACACGGTCAATATAGGCCATAGAAAACGGGATGGAGGTGTTAGTGACTTTTATGAGTGAGCGTATGGAGAAACTGTGATAGAGTTATATACGCACATGTATACATTGGCATACATACACACATATACATACTGACATACACACACACACTTAAATACAGGCATACGTACATAAACAGACATACATACACGTACACACACACACACACACACACACACAACAAAGCATTCAATAACATTATATATCCTTCCACCAAAGGCCTCAAAGAAAGAGCTCAGCTGTATAATCCTGAGAGCTTAAAGAGTGCCGCTGAGAGCTTAAAGAGTGCTGAGAGCACAAAGAGTGCCGCTGAGAGCTTAAAGAGTCCAGCTGTGTGTGTGTGTGTGTGTGTGTGTGTGTGTGTGTGTGTGTGTGTGTGTGTCAGACTTAGCAAGACTTCGTCGAATATTTACACCAGGGGATAACACCATGGCGAGGAAGAGGAGGGAGAGAAGAGGGCGAGTGGAGGGCGAGTAGAGGAGGGCGAGGTGGAGGGTGAGTGGAGGAGGGTGAGTGGAGGAGGGTGAGTGGAGGGAGGCGAGTAGAGGAGGGCGAGGGAGGAGGGCGAGGGAGGGGAGGAAGGAGGGAGGAGGGCGAGTGGAGGAGGGCGGAGGGAGGAGGGTGAGTGGTGGAGGGTGGAGTGGAGGAGGGCTAGTAGAGGAGGAGGGAGTGGAGGAATTTGTGGAATGTTTATTTTTGAAATAGTGAAGGAGGAGGAGGTGAGGGGAGGAGGAGGAAGAGGAAGAAAGGGGAAGAGAGAGAAGAAGAGGAGAGGAGGAGGAGGAAGAGAAGAGGAAGAGAGAGAAGAAGAGGAGGGGAGGAGGGGAGGAGGAGGAGGAGGGGAGGAGGAGGAGGAGGAGGAGGAAGCAACATTCAAGTCATAATTCCTTGAGACATTAAAATTCCTCACTCTTGGAGATACAGAGAGAGAGAGAGAGAGAGAGAGAGAGAGAGA